GTACTGTCTCCCAGGTGATAGTCCATGTTCTAACAGTGTTGCTATTGTTTGTGTTGCAGAGGGAAAGGCGACAGAGTGACTACTGGGATGAGTGGGAGGACTGGGGAGAGTGCAGCCGGACATGTGGAGGTGGCATCACCGTGCGGTACAGGCGCTGTATCTCACAGAGGTGAGCACGGAGCTCAGCTTCGTCAGCACTGAATGCAACTGGTCGTTCATCCTGTCCCCAGGACTTCAACTCCCTAAGACACCTCCTCCCCACCCTGGGCCCATTAATCCACAAGAAAATACTAATCAATCTTTAGCACTTCCTTTACAGTGGAATATAGCCATTAATTTATTAATCGAACTTAGAGGACTAGCAGTAGTAGTGGTCAATTTTGTATCCTGAATATTTAGAACTGATTTGCTTTTTTGAGGGTGAGTGTATGTGGAGATCAGGTGAAACATTAATGAACACGCGCACTGCCTGCAGCACAAGCCATCAAGCTTTTTAAATCAGTTTAATTAAGCGCTTATTCAGAAAGTCAAAAAAATTGCTACATCTATAAATATTTCAATTAAAACAGGAGTAGATAGTTAAAGTTCATAACCCTGTCTGTATGAATAAAATAAATCAAAATTCAATCACATCACTTAAGTCATTTAAGTCTGGTGCTTCTAATTCATTTCAGAACAAGTAAGACAGTTAAAAGCTGTTGTTACTGAAGTTCACCCCTGGGGTTTTAAAACCTCGTAAGTCATTGACTTTGTACTTTGTGTCTGCCAATGTGTACAAATATTACCATGACTAACTCTGAAAAGTGTTTTGAAAGCGGCAAAAATTGGCATCAATATATACAGTTAAAATCATGAGTATTGGGACAGTAATAATTGGGAGTAAGTGAAATTTGTCATTTTTGTTGTGTACTAATCCAATTTGTATTTTGGATTAAAAGATGAATATGATGTAAATCTATATTGCCTTTATTTATAGTGCCTTTCCAGTAATTATGCTACAAACGTGTTTAGTTGTCACATTTGGGAAGAAAAAGAAGTTATTGATTGTTTTGGGAGGTTGTATCATCAGCACCTTAGTCTCATTGCAGAGTGTCCTGATAAAGTATTTCTAGGGATAGTGATGGCTTCATTAATAGTATTTAAATGAATACCCTAATTAGGTGGTCTTCTATTAAACTGCCTGTAGCAGTTGCACAATGATGTTATAGAGAACGGTTTTCACATAACCCTGCAGCAAGAACTTAGCAGGTATGTGACAGTGATTCAGTCATCTAAATCTTTGCATTGCTTGCTCTTCCTGGCATTAGTGCTATGTAATGTCTGGCTGTCAAGACTGTGCCCTGCTGAAAGCACCTTTGTGGTCATTCATCAGAAATAGAAGCCAAGTTCAAATAAGACCTCATGGTGAAAGGCTGGTTATCCCAACAGTCACCTGATGAGTGTTTGCATTAAGGTCAAAGGTCAGATCTAAATCTCTGGACTGTCGAGTTTTTTAACAACTTGATCCCAGTTTATTTTGTTTTTTGTTGGTGGTGTAGCTCAGAAGGTAATCGGTGTATTACAATATTTGTGTGTGTAGTTGCAGATTCCATACAGACAGATGCATACCATGTACTACTGCTGCTTGAACCGCAGGGTTTCAGATTTCAGGACCGAATAGTCACTCCGTGTATTTCACAGTATACTTTGACTTGTTTAAGTATAAGATTGAATTCTGCAGTACACGTAAAAGCAGACAATTGGCTTTATAACTCATCTCACTAAGAAAACAAAATCAGACAAATGGGCGGGTATTCTGTACATTGATATACACATGGGTTTTAGGTTGTGCATATAATGTGTTACTTTTCTCCTGGCTTTCACCTGTTCAGACAAAACATCTAAAGAGGTAAATAGGTGTGGCTTTTGCAACGATGAATAGGAATTCTCTTTCAATGTGATTGTTGTCTGTGCAATAAAGAGATGCTTTTACAGAATAATATGCTGTGGCTTAACCTGAATGCCTGAGGTATCATGGTCTTGGAGAATGAAAAACATTATTTTTCTAAGTAATAATAGACTCCTGTGCTTTAAACAAGAATAGTCACAATCTTCTTTTGATATCCCGTTTTATATAATTTTATATTAACTTTTTCAGTACACAGCATCGAATATGAAATATTCTTGTCTTTTCTGTTGATGCACACAGAAAAAGAAAGTCTCCGAAAACTAGAGATGACTCATAGTGAGACAGTGTCCATGGTGCCCCATGGACAGAGTGCACACAAAGAATTAAGGACGAGATTCATATTGAAAGGTCCAAGGGTTCATATAAATTTAGTGAATCATTCAGGATCATTCAAGATATTTAATGCTACATTTCTTTGGTCTGAGACATTGTCCCAGGGAAGTTCTTTGTCTATACTGTTCAAATCAGCCAAAATATATTTTATGGTACATTCTGCTTAAATGTGCCCTAATGTTTCTGGTCTTTATTTACATTTGCTAGTGCTGCCTATTCTTTCTCAGATAGGCAGATGCAAAAATGCCTCTTGTGAGACAAAATTGCAGCATTTTACAGTCTGACTCTGTGCTAATGTAGCATTTCATGTTGCACTTCGTTGTGGGAGAAAGTAGATCCCTTGGTGCATTAATCACGAGCATGTGCGCTGGCTTGAGGGCCAGGTTATGTAACGTGCACCTGCAGAGAGTGAAACGTTTGGAGGAGTTTGCATGGCAGTGGTCAGGAACAACTGCTCTCCATGGAGGAGGCTGAGCAATCATGTGACACTCGACAGCCATAACTCACATGCTGTGGAATTATCTCTGCAAGTTTGCTCTTGCTGTTCAGCTTCAAAAATGAATTAAGGACGTCTCGGTTATCAAACCAGAGTCCCCTTCCCCTAGGTGGCTGGTACTGTAGTTAACAGAAAGGAAGGTCTCAGCACATACATAGGTGAGCATGTGGTTTATAGACATCCAGGGATCCTTTTAAAAAGACCTGGTTTTAATGGTTTACAAGATCAAAAGTGGGTCAGAAGATTGATCATTGGCCAAAATGTTTCATCATTTATTCATTGGTACTTCAAAACAACTCAATCATATTGTCTCTTTGGCTCTTTGGTCAGTGCATCTTATTTAGTTCTAAACGAAGATGCGGTCAGGCTTTTGTGTTGGTAGAATGAATAGAAATGAAAGAAGTCTGATTTCAGAATTATATGCCATGGTAGTTTTCTGGACAGTTGTCATGTCAGAAATATAAATTGTCAGTAACCACTTCGTCCAACAACATGGTGCAAGATCCTTCGTAAAGCTGTTGTTTTTTTTTAAGTTATTTTTTGTTAATGTTAATATGTAACAAAGATTGGAATAAGATTACATGTATACATAAATGTATCTAAAATTGACAGAAAATTTGCCAGACTGCTTCCGTTAAAAAGAGTAGTTATTAAAATTAAGCTATAAACAAAAACTCATGAATGTACTGTGACATGTCTTAGTTCTCTGTGTTTTACATTATAGGGGAATAGTGTAAACCATGGGTGGGAAGTAACAGAGACTTATGTAATCACGCTGGTGATTAGCTGGTGTTCTCTGTCCAGTAACTCCAACTCGGAATGAAAATTCAAAACTAAAACTAACTTCATTCAAAGCAGACAATTCTATATCCATCCATCATCATAAAACAACTTATTTTTAAATTAACAGTAACAGTAACAGTTTAAATTTATGTATCTAAATGTATTGTTTTCTTAGCACTAGTGGTCGCCCACAAATCAAAATGGAAAATCTTGAAACTAAAAAAAATGCAAGGCCCAGTGAACAATTTCTACTCGGAGCCCAGTGAGCTCTGAGGAAGAGAGAACAGTGGTGAAACTGAGAGGCCGCTAGTATATACAGTACATAGTGGTGTGACCTCTTTCGACCAAGGGGAGAAAAGGTGTACCTCCGTGAGGAGAAGATGACAAAAACGAAGCCCAAGAAAGCCTTCCGACTCCCTCAAGCACTCTTCAGCGCCTGGTCGCATGGGGGGAGCATTGTGTGCCTGCTGAAGGCCTGCTCATTAGCAAATGGCCTTGAGCGGCAGTGTGTTCACCTGCCGAGCTGCGTCGAAGAAGGAGCCACAGACATGCACAGACAGGCTAGACATGGCCTGGCTGCACTCTCTGTGTATGTTTACAGACGAGTATTCTTTCAGGAACAAGCTGAGGTTAATTTCTTGCTGAAAAGCAGGATGAAAGAAGCAAAATTAGTTGGCGAATTTCATGTTTTCCTTTTCATTTTGCAATGAAGTAGCTCTGCACTCCACGTTTGAGTAGGTTTCGTCCAGGTGCTCCGGTTTCCTCCCACAGTCCAAAGACATACTGGCTGGTTCATTGGCTGCTGGGAAAACTGCCCCCAGTATGAGTGTGTGTGTGTTTGTGTCTGTGTGTGCCCTGCGATGATCCGGGCTGTATCCTGCCTTGCACCCATTGCTTGCTGGGATAGGCTCTGGCTCCCCTGCAACCTTGAACTACTACTACTACTAATGATAATGATAATAATAATAATGATGAATTTAGTAGCTAGAAAATAGATGGCTGGACATAGCAGGAATGTTTTGACTTATACCAACAGTATTTTATTAATGTACAGTATAGCAATGGTTTGAGGTCATGTTGAAAAGTAACAAGTAAAGTTTTATTCCATGCTGAAAAGAGAAGAAAAGAAACATAGCATTTTGGCTGTGGAGCCTTCTTCGGATGTCGAATGTTAAAAAGTTTTTTACTTTCAAGAAGGAGCCTGGTGCACATGCTAGCTGAGTCTTGGAAATGTTGTCTTCAAACAGGACAGCAATTCGGACTTTAATTCTAATCTTTATGCATCCCCCATTTTCTCAGCCAGATAAGAATCTAGTGATTCACAGCTGAAATATGTGTTCTGTAGTTGAGAACCTCAGCTGGGAAGATCTCCATGTCATATATTAAAACAAACTCTTTTAACCTCCACTCCTGCTGCAATTCTGCACCTGTCTTCAATACAGCTTCACCCTAGAGCCACCAAGCATGGAGACAGAAGTCTCTCCTACATCAGGACCAAAACTGGTAATAGTACTTATTAAAAACTTTATTGTAAATTTATTTACAATTGATGAGTGACATAATGGATAGGGGAATTGAAGTTGTTCTCAAACTTAATTACTGGTTCTCAATAAGCGTAAGCATATTGGCTAAGATATTTGGGGAACAGCAGTGTGGCAATTAAAGAAAGAATGATATTGGTGATACTGGTCTTGGTAGCTTAGGGTTTTTGCAAGTTTCAGATTAATCGGTAACTTCAAAAACAGGAAAAACACTGAAAGATTCCATGACAGCACCTGAAGAGTTGGGCAATTTTTCTAAATCATCCATCCGTTCATTTTCTCACAGTTTTATCCAATACAGTGTCTCAGGGGCGCTGGCACCTATACTGGAATGCAACAGGTGCCACGTAGGGTACACTGTGGATGTCATGCCACTCCATCGCAGGGTACACACACACTCACACTAGGGCAAGTTTTCCCAGAAGCACTTTTACCTAACAGTATGTGTTTGGACTGGCAAACACCCACGTGAACATGGGGAGAACATCCAGACTCCACACAGATAGCAGCACAGGTCCAGAATTGAACCCAGGGCTGCACAAGGCAGCAATGCTCACTATTGAACCACCATACCATCCATTATCCATTACCGTCATCTAGTTAACCCAAATTGTTAATCAGACTGAGCATTGTGTTGGAATGGAAACCTGAAGGATTATAGTCCTACAGGGCACAGTTTAGGAGCCACTGCCTTAGATCCTTGAGATCTTTCACAAAATGTTGCAACTTCAGGGTTTAAGCAAGTCACCACAGCTTTGGATCGAACATTCTCCCTAGGACATCACACAATTCCATAAACATATACTTGTAACTATAATAAAAAAACTTGCATTATTATTTTCCTCTGCTCAAACTTGAAGACCAAAGCAGAACGCCCTCAAATGAGGGGAAGTGATAGCCCAGTCCTGTCCCAAACATGCCCTGCCAAATCTTCTCCTGAGCTCACAGGCTGCAGCAGGGCAAACAGGAGAAAAAGGAAACAAGGTTTTTTCTCCCAATTGTGCTGTAGCCTAAGATGGCAATTTCACACTGCTTTTCATCCATCCATGTATATTAATGGACCTGCACACCTTCAACATTTCAGTCTGGACATCTTACTGTACAGCAGAAGACTTGCGAGGAATATATTGCTCATTCCTTGCATGTTGCCTCCTGAAGTACTATATATTAATATGCTCTTTTACGTAGAAGGCTGATCAAGAAAAATCCTCTTTCAGCCCTTGCCAGTCATATATATTGGTTTCTTTCAGGTTATGTAACTTTTGTGCACATGTCAGTAGCTGTGTGTACTGTCAATGTGGAGGTGCAGTAACCTTTCTGGAACATCTTTCAATAGAGAAAAAACTGCCAGTCCATGACTTCCATGGATGACCTACAGAAGTGTAGTTCTTCTGTTCATTCAGGTGTTTTTTTGTATTCTGTCTTTGACTCTTGCAGCTGTGGCTTTAGGCTAAAAAATATTGTAAATGTTCCAAGACGCTGTGTTCCCGCCAATGTTTCCCAGATACGAAACCTTAATATGCTGTCCAAGAGTAAAAAAAACAAACTGTAAACAAAGAAGCCAAGAAGATCTTTTGATCATAAGATTTGCGTCAGATATAGTGAAAATACTAGTGAATGAGTCCAGTGTATGTCCTTTTTAAAAAACATCCAATCTTTACTGCTTAGAAGCACCCAGTCAAGAAGTGTTGCATCACCTTTTATGAACTATTCACCCTGGTACTAAGATCTACCTTTTACACACCCAGATACATTTGCAGAATAGAACAAATCCATGCAGTCATCATCAAACATAAAAAAGGCTTTTTTATACACTGAAAGCTGTGTTCTTTTAACTGACAGCAAACTCTCCGGTAGTTTTACTGTCTGCCTGTGGTTTGCTGTGTCTTCTCAGTCAGGTGAGCTGTGTGCAGTGAGTTATGAGGGTGGGCTTGTCCAACAGTTCGCAGGATGGTGATTGCAAGAAAACCCAAAACACTGACCATGCTGATTGAGCATCCCAGCATAGCCAGTGTTTTGGTCGGTTTCTCTAGAAGCAACAAATCCGATTTTTCTCTTCTTTCTACCGAGGATTAAAATATCATTGTGAGTGGTTATTATGCATGAACCAGCTTTCAGATGCTCCACTTGTACTGTAGAAAATGTTTTTAAATGAAGCTGGATCCAATAAAAAAACTCTTTAATAAATGTTAATTATGTGATGATTAATAAATGCCTATCAGCTAGTGTATTTAAATGTCAGTGGTCCAGACATTGCCTTGGAGAGAACTTGCTTGTATTTACCAAGACGCTTCTAGAGTACCTGTTTTGTAGAAAGAATGCCCTGTGAGGAATAGCCTGTTTCAGTATGCCTGTGCAGTATTGTGTGTTTCAGTTCAGTAGCAGCAGTGTGCCTGTACAGAAAGCCCATGCTGGCAGCACTGTTTGTGCCTTTAGGCAGACAGGCGGTGTTGGAGACGCCCACCACACCCAGCTCAGAATATAGCTGAGAGCTAAAGCAGATTCCGTCACGCCAGCTGAAATTCTGCCAGTGGACTCGGATATTATAGGCTATCAAGAGCATTCAGTAGCATGGCTTGCAACACCTGTGTGCTAATGTTGTAATCTCTGTTATTTTGCACATATTTCGCTGTTCAACTCTAGCCTGTTCTGCTCTTCCTAGCACCACATTCCTTTGCAAACAAAGCTGTTTTGTTGTGGGAATTTATCATTCTTGTCTCCCTGCATCCATGTGTTTTTGTCCTTTTCAAATCAGATTAACAATGCCGATTTGATTTAATTCATGCTAATTTGGTTTAATTTTGGGCACCACTTTATAGGAGGTACTGCTCATTTAACAGGCACCTTAGTTTTGAATAAAAAAGACTATGAAGGAACCCTGTTCAAGTACTCAGAATCCCAAAGTGAACACAGTTTATTTCTTCAGGATCGATTGTGAAACATGAATTAAGAGACTGTAACCAAGCAGCCACAACTGGACTGTCAGAATTAGGTTAAGTCACCAGAGATTGAAGTCAAGACACTAGATATAAATGTGCGTGAGATTATTAGGGAATTAGTATCCCGTTTGGAGCAGGTTTTCCCCTCACTGTCAGGTGTGGCAGGCAGTTTACAGAGTCTCACAGGAAGTCTCACAGTTTGGCTCAGGTTTGAGCTCTCTTGAGTGAATAAAAGAAAACTCCGAAAGGGGGCCAGTTTCAGCATCAATCCCAGAGAGGAATGTGACATTTAGAGTCTCGTGGTGAGGCTCATGTAGCGTGATATGTGCAGTCTCAAGGTGAGTCTTGGGGTGAGAATCTGGGTTCACACAGTCTCACGGTGAGACTGTGATTAATAGAGCCTTGCGGTGAGGTTCTAAGTTCATGCAGTCTTGCAGTGAGGCTGCAGGCTCTGTCACTAGTCTGAACGGGAGACAGGTTATTATTCTCAAGGTGAGATGTTAGGATACAAGGTTATGGAGAGGAGAGGAAGGCTCTCAGTACATAGCAGCCTTGGTCATTTCCATTTCAGCTCGCTAGTCTTGCAGTAAGAGCAAGAGTGGCCATTTGGAAACAACCAAATGGAAGTTTTCTAGTGATACTACTCATAGGGATAAAAAGATAAATGTACAAGTACCACTTATTTAGTTTAAATGTAAAAAGCAGGGTACTTTTGCAGGTTCACTAACTCTCATCTACCTCAAAAGGGAATCTGTCACAAGAATACAACTGGAAACTACAAGGAAATATTTTTTAAAACACAGGAATATGGGATGCACTAATTCACCCAAAGGGTTGTGCGGTCACAGTGTAGTACGCACAACAGAATAACAGAAACCACGTACTGCTGCACAGGAGGAAAGCATCATGTACACCAAAGTCAGGTACTGAATTATGGGACCCCTGTGGTCTGGTCAGATCTACTCATTACTCACTGACTCCTGTTTTGTGTTCTGCTCACAGGAGGGATGGAGGATCCAGCTGTGTGGGCCCAGACAGAGCCTTTCGTTCATGCAACATCCAGGTAGCCACACCTCAGCAAAACATCCCGGCTTCATCTGCTCCTTGCTTTCTGCCTGTCTCTACCTGTCTGCCAAATTGTCCCTCTTTCTTTTTTTTATTTCACGACTTGTATGTTGTATCTTGTTCTATCAGTCTGAGCCCTGGCAGATTACACATAACTGTGAAGTTACAGTATGTCTACTTATTATTTCAGATGCTTTTATAACAGAAGAATGCTGTCCTCTTCCCTTCAGGATAGCAAGCTGCTGGCAGCCTGGTGCTCTCTGCCAGAGTCTGTACACTTCTTGATTGACACCGGGAATGTGATTGCAGTTTGCCTTTGCCTTAGGGCATCAGTTCAAACCTTTATGATATGTATATAAAAGTTTTGGATCAAGTAATTAAAAAAACAGCGAGCAGATGCTTATTTCTACAGGTCTATAGAAGTCTGAGGAGTAGTACAAATACATCAACACCTTCCATCTCATATTGTTTCTCTGATGTCACATTGGTATCCTTTGATTATCATAATGCAAACATTATGCCCACATAGACATAGTACAGTATAATACACTTGTGGATCTGATTTCTCAATCTATACTTTGAATTGGCCGAATAACTGATAATGATAGTGTGAAAGTGACTAATGATTAAAGATTCTCATTCCCATCTCATTTCCTGAAAGATACCAGGGTATCTGCATCAACAACTTGGCTGGATATCTTGTAACATAAACCCACATACCTATTGGTACAGAAGTGCTTCCTGTTCTCTGTTTTACATGCAGTTCCAAAATACAATACAATATATAGAATGTATTTTCAGCATTCTTTACAAGAATTTTGTGTTCACTTCGGTGAGAGCTCATGAAACTGTTGGAAATTTTACTTTGTAATCTTTCTGTTGGCTTTAAGAGGGCTCAAATAACAAAGTACTCAAATTGCCTTTGTTCATGAAGATGGAATTACTGTGGGTACTCAAAGTTGTGCTCCATCTCCGCAGGACTGTCCTGAAGGCTCCAGGGATTTCCGAGAGGAGCAGTGCTCTCAGTTCGATGGTGCTGACTTCCAGGGAAAACGGTACAAGTGGCTCCCTTACTATGGAGGTAATAAAAGCCTTCTCAAGTTTCCTGTGGCATTCCAGGCAAATACAAAGGCTTATTACAATTGGAAAACAATGGAGGGAAAAAGCATAAGCATTTATACGACCAGGCAGACTTCTCAAGCTTTCTGGGATGTGCTTATTGAAAGACTGGTTATTTTTCTACCCCTTTTTCCTACCTTCCTGTAAGAGAACTGTGTGAGGAGCCTGGCTGGAGAAACAGTTCTGTTAGTTCGTCTTTGTGTTACTCAGAGCAGGCTCCCTGGATGTGTTATGTTACGTCATGGTATCCTGTAGATTGTAGAGTGTGCTGTGGTGCTTCATAGTATTGGGTAACAGATCTGCAGTTAGTGAAGCCTCTGTGATAAAGGAAAATAGACGGTAGAGCAGTGCAGTGGAAGTATTCATCACCACATCCCTGTTTGAATTGCCTTTGGGCGTGTCTCAGGTGAGGCACCTTGCGCATGTAAAACAAAAAGAAAAAAAAGGAAACAATCTGTGCTTCTCCAATTAGCTGAGAACAACTGTGAGCTGAGCTGTATCCCCAAGGGAGAGAATTTCTATTACCGGCATCGGGAGGCAGTAGTCGACGGCACGCCTTGTCACCCAGGGAGAAGGGACGTCTGTGTGGAAGGTGTCTGCAAGGTAAGACAGAGCAGCTGTTTCATCTCGAACTATTGTCACTCATGAGGTTCAAGGAGCGTGGTAAGCACAAACAGTATTTTCCATTATTCTATTATTGCCATTAATTATTGCCATTAATATTCTATTAATTTTTTTCATTTTTTTAAAGGAAAGGTTATTGTTTTTGGCACATTTTTTGCAACCCAAATAGTGTTACCATAATCTTTTTATTTTGCTCATAAAAACGTGTTTCCACTCTAGTAGAGAGCATTCCTAACTGTATGAGCTGGAACTGATCTTGCCAAAGATACTGTAGTTCTCTCTGATTTTAACACATTGTCTGCTGAATTGACCACAGGTTGTTCCAAATCAATAGAAACTGGGGATTTAATAGTTACTGTACCTATAAAAACTCTGGAAGAGTCATTAAAATCTCTGAGAACTAAACTGAAAAAATTTCTGATTTCTAAAAGTAAAGTGTGATTTGTTTTCTGGTATTCCTTTCCAAAGCCAGTGGGCTGTGACAATATGCTGGAGTCCACACAAAAGGAAGACCCCTGTCTGGAGTGTGGGGGCACTGGAAAGTCCTGCTATCCGGTGAGAAAGACCTTCACCGTGCTTGACCTGCCCAAAGGTATGAACTGCAGGGACAGGTGACCTCAGCAATAGGTGTCTTTGGTTCTTTCAACTCAAACACTGATTCATGCATGTTGTACTGGTATGTGCTCTGGGTAATGCTATGTATGTACACTACACATATGGGGCAATATTAAAATCCAAGATGGGGAAAAAATATTTAAAAATGATCCTTAATGGCTCTATTGTAGGGTATTGCAATAATATTGAAACTAAATTGCTGTTTATTATAAAAAGCCACTGAATCTGGAAGGAAAATCTACATCTCTGTCCTTCTTTTTACCACCAGGCTACAACCAGATGTTTATCATCCCTGTTGGCGCGACCAGCATCCTAATTCGAGAGATGGCACCAACCAGGAACTTTCTGGGTAAACACAAGAATGGGGTTTAGTGCAGTGTGGGCAGAAGCAGGGGTAGGCATGCATCCCAGTGGAAGCGTTTATGAGCATAGTCATGAACAGTGTGTGTTTGTTGTCTTTAGATTTATAGTATATACAGTATGTGAGTGTGCCTCATTATCTGTTTCATGTGGGAATGTACCCGATTTAAGATTTACACAAACAAGTCTTACAAATGATACCAGCAGGAACTGTCTAGTTTGTTCCTGCCATGGTTGGACAAAAAACTCCCTATACGGTAGGTTCAGATCCCGCCTGACTAATGAGCCCTACAGTACAGTACAAATATGACAATACAGATATGGGAATTCCTTCATTGGTAGCTGTAACATTTTTAGGCCCACTCACAGGACCTTCTTAAAGGCATGGACTCACAAAGGACAATTTATGAGTTTTAATTGATCTATTTATATTTAATTCAGTAATTATTCAGTATATTCATTCCACAACTTGGATAATGGATTGTAGGGCAGATTTCAGCACAGCTTATTTGGACAAATTTGGCTTTAAACAAAAAGCAATGAAGCACTGAAGAGAGAAGCTTTCTGAGTCTGTGTCCTGATAACGGTGTCTCTTTTCAGCTATTAAGAATGTGCGTGGGGAGTACTATCTGAACGGACACTGGGTTATTGACCACTCTCGCGCGGTTCACATCGCCAGCACCGTGCTGCACTACGAGCGCGGGGCCGAAGGGGATCTGGCACCAGAGACCATCAGAGGGAGGGGCCCCACCACGGAGCCGCTAGTCATTGAGGTCAGAGGTCAAGCATCTCACACTCACGCTAACACGCAGGTCCGGGTGCAAGCCACTGTATGTTGTGTTTTAGAAGACGGGGTTATAGCAAGAGAATGCCCGCACATGCATTTAGAACTAGAATCAGCTTGAAGATACTGATAGAAATCGTGTTGAATAGCTTTGAATTATCAATTTATGCTTCTCTTTTTAATGAAGGCACTCTGCAATGGTTTGTCCTTAGTTGGTCTCTTTCTAGAGCAGCAATATTGCTTTTACAGTCCGGCGTCCAGAATTGTACTCTGTATTCAAAGTCACGTCTGATTCATGCATTGCATAGTGTATTTAGCATTACTTATTATAAACATTACTTACAAGCATTTTGTTGCTTTTTAAAAAAAGACAAGATATTAATGCTTTGTGGTGTCCCTCTGCCCTCAGCTAATCAGCCAGGAGCAGAACCAGGGCATTGAGTACGAGTACTACGTGCCCTACCGCAGCTCTAATGAGGGCTACTTCTGGAGCTACGGATCCTGGTCTGAGTGCAGCAAGGAGTGTGGCTCAGGTGGGATCAGCCTTGTAGTGTCAAACAAATGACAAAGTTCAGGTGTCTGTGAAGCAGAAGTCCCTTTATTCATATGCATATGGTAGTCCGGCTTGCGACCACCAGACTGAAAAAATAAGAAGCTGAAGATGGTCCTTTATACCATAAAACAAAAAGAGTTACTATGACATATTCTAAACAAATGATAAAACAGCAACACCTGCCAATTAATTATATCTAAGTTGCAGACTAGACAACAGTTAGTTCTTTTCATATTCTGGGCGTATAGCCATCTTACCAAATACATGCCCCTTATCTTACAGACCAAGGACAGGCAGCATCTTTATATATATTTGAGCACAAAACCTACGTCAAGCCACTAAACTGCATAGTTTGCAAGAAACATACAAAAACATGAAAATGATATTATTATCCCACTTCCTGGGCATCTCTCTTATCTCTTCGTTCTTCAGGCTCTACACGCAACTCATTCATTACTTAACAGCCACCATTTGGCATTTGCCAATCTTTGCAATTAAATGCTAAAACCATGATCCTCCTAGCTGAACTGGTGGCAAAAGCACCGCAGGGCCATGAGTTATAGCAGCTGCATTACTTTTCCTTGTGCTGCAAATGTTTGATTTCATTAAGATGTGCAGTCTTGTGTTGTGCAGGCTCAGAAAACTGAACTAACACTACCTTCTTAATCCATGCCTCCTGTACCAGGGTACCAGTCCCGCCTGGTGTTCTGCATCATTGACAACGAAGCCTACCAGGACTACCTGTGTTCTGGGCGTCCCCGGCCCGCTAGCAACCGGACCTGCAACCCACAGCCCTGCCCGCAGACCCGCCGGTCAGTAGACGCTCAGGAGCAGCAGCCAGACATACAGTCAGGCAGTGTATTGAAAACATACTGATGGGCTCAGGTTTCAAGCGGATTCCAAGTTACAATAATGTGAAAGAAGAAACGCCGTGAGCATGAGGAATAGAAACAAGTGATCTCAACACAAACTTGCCTCAGTAGGATAAGGATCTCTTTCGCACAGCAGCGACAGGTAGCCACAGTGCAGTTCTTCACTGCTGTGTCGAGCGGGCAGCAGGCAGGGCTGTGTTCAGCCCCTGCTGTGGGCGGGACCTCACTCCTCTTCATTTGTTCCTGTTGAAAGGATGGCGTACTTGTACCGGCCTCACCTGTGGAGGAGTCAAGGACGCCTGAGTTCACGGGTGTACAGGTAACGCCTGCCAGTGGCCTGAAGAACTGCCAGGGCGATCGCAGGCTGGCAGGCAGGCAGGAAGGCAGGCAATCGAAACCGAGGAGGCACAGGGCTCCAGGAAATACTGAGGGTCAATGTTCACTTCTCCACCAAGATCAATGATATATTGGCTACTCCAGTCCATATTCTTCACATCACGCAAAACAGATCGTGATATAGAGTCAATTTGAAATTCTGTTATACAATAACATCTGATTGGTCTTATGATTACTTTGGAGAAATATAAATTGCTGCCTTTCATGCATTAACCATGCATAGTATTTGTCGTCTCTTAAAGAGACGCGAAAAGTAACTGAAAGATTTGTGAGTTTAGATCCAGTCTTTCCTTGAGAGCCGACCAAGTGCCTTGTGTTTTCCCAACAGTATATGGGAGCCCTGAGGGTCGGAAAAAGCAGACACCTCCTGTTTCCATTGAAGAGATGCTTTCTAGTTGCAGCACTTGTCTCCGTGGTGCTGGGGCAAAAATCCGGCTCAGAGCGAGCAACTTGATGTTTTAGGGTTGTGGCTCGCCTTGTCCAAGAGTCAGTGGAAAAAAAATAAAAGTGAAGGTGTTCTGTAAAAAATATTTCTACATTGCTTCAGAGAATCGTAATGAAGTTTGGGAATCGTGGATTTCATTTTTTTCTGAAACAAGGTGCTGAAATCAAAACACAGTTTAAAAGATTGCTCCTTAACAGGATCTGCACTCTTTTTGACCCCATTTGGCTTTGCTCCAGATCCTCTGACATGGATTTTTGCCTGGTTGCTCTAGTGATGTCTGCATATAATCAAGCCAGTGTTCATTTTCTTTAATATCTATATTCTAGAAAAATCAGAATGTGCAATTTATCTTAAGAAAAAAGCTATAGTATAGGACTGTATTTCCTATTGATTGGTAACTACAGAATTCATGACTAACTGTCCTAGAAACTCAGAATTTGAGTGGTTTGAACCCAGATCTCAGCTTCCCATTAACACGTGTCATTTCGGGCAAAGGAAGCAGAAAATTGCCTACAGGAATATGCTATCCAAAAACATTAAAAAACATTCACAGATTGTTGGGACTCATTTTACAGAGAAATTCTAAACTCTGGAGGAGTGTCCAAATAATTGAGTAAAAATCCAGTTAAATACCAAGGGCCTCCCAGTACCACTGCTCCATGGTTTCTGTTTTAGTGCCTGTCGATCCATCTGCCTTTCTAACAGCTTACAAGCAACTGATGTGGTTTCTTAAATAAGGGTCAGCTTCAGCAAGCTCATTAATGTAATCCTGTTATAAAACCTGTTATCTAGGTTTTAGTAGCTCTTGAACTCCAGTTTGTATTTTTGCACTTTAAAACATCTCAGAATTTGAATTTTATATTGCAAAGGAGCCATACAAATATATGAGGAACAAGCTTCTTTTTACCATTGATTGCCACTTGTAAATAAATAACACAGAACAGTTTTACAATCAATTACAATTACAATTTTATGGAAGAAACAATGAGCATGAAATATTCTGCATTTCAAAGTGGAGACAAAAACAAGGAAAGACTGAGACAGAAGGGAAAAAGAGGCCACCTTGACAGCATTGAGCCGCTGTTTGCTGGGAGTGGGAAACAAGCTGAGGGCAGGAAAGATAATGACAGGGAGGTTTGTGAGGTGGTGTAGTAGGGCAGCCTTCCAGGGGATGTGGTAAGGTTCACTAAATCCTGGAGCTCAAATCACAACAGGTTCACTAACTGCTAAGGGTGTTTGTGGCTTAGCACCTTATTAGAAAGTCAGCTTGCTTCACTGGGTGCGTGCTGTACAAGGGTGTTGGGTTTCAGAAGAGCTCCTCAGAAAACCACTCTGCCTGGCCTCATCAGCCTCTCAGCCTCTCGTTTGGTACAATCACTGGCCAAAATATTTAGCATTTTAAATCTTCTCAACCGGAAGAAGAAGAAGAATTTGCTTTTTCTAACCTAACTTCATAATGGCATACTAGTTAAAGTATTGAAGGAAATAACTTTGGGTCTGTCTCCTTTTATTTTAGAGCTCTTTGATTAGAGATAAAGGGAATTGTGCTATAGGGCATTTTACCTCAAAGTACCTGTAATCAGGAAAGGAAGTCAACTTTTGTTTCAGTATAAACGAGGTTTCTTTCAAGAGTTTTTGCTGCAGGGCAAGTGTTGTGCATGAGTTTTGGAAAAGAAATTATGTCAATGAAAAGATGTGGATCCAGCAGGATCTAAAAGTATGGAGAAGAAATTCAGTTGAATTGATTTGGAAATGATAACTCTTTTCACTGAAACAGAAAAGCTTTTTTTTTTCCTTTTTCTAAAACACGCAGACTTGCTGCTCTTTGATATAACTTCACAGTTCAGTGACCAAAGGCTGTCTTTACAAATGAGGGGTCAGTTGTGTGATGACGTTGTCTTTGAGAGTGTGAGAAGTGCCCAGAGCCTCATTGAGAGTGCAGCTGTGAGCCTGACGGACAGGGTGTTGGAGGCTGAGGGGCCGAGTGACCTGGGCTGCGGTCCGTGGCCAGAGGAGGACAGAGAAAGCCCAGCACCCCTGAGCGGCACTTGTCTGGGCGAGGGTTGCTTGGCAGCGGGGGTGAAGGGGCTGCAGGTGGGGGCGGTCAGCCAGTCTGGGCCAGCTCTGAGTGTCCGCCGCTGTTCCCCCGCCAGCTGGAAGACAGGGGAGTGGAGCGCCTGCTCCGCCACCTGCGACGGAGGCACGCAGAGCCGCAGCGTATCCTGCCTGATCCACGACGGCTCCGGCTCCCGCGTGGTGGAGGACGCCCAGTGTGCCGCCTTCTCCTCCCGGCCCAGCTCCCAGCAGGCCTGCAGCCTGCGCCAGTGCGCCTCCTGGAGCGCCCGCAGCTGGTCCCAGGTGAGAGGGTCGTCCATGACCGGGACGTGGGGCAGCTGTGCAGAAGCGACATGTGCGCTCCGACGTGGGATGTGATCCAAAGTCCTTCTGGTGCCCCGGATAGCCCAGCACACCCACCGCAAACTCAGTAGACAGGTCCGCACTGCCGAACGACCAGCCTCTATCCATGCTGTTGGGAGTCCAGGAGAGCGATGTCTAATGACAGCCTCACAGTCACACCCGTCACACTGACAGAGTTTCCCAAGGACAGATGTAGCACAAGGACCTCTTTTCTCCATTTTCATTCTAGTGATGTAAATTTAATCATTGTCATGTCAGAAGAATAATGTGATGTTCCCATGCTAGAGAATACTGGGTCAAACTGGAGAGATGAGTGCCCATTTCACGCTGGAAACACTGTAATAATAATAATAACAATAATAATAATAATAATAATAATAATATTAACAATAATTACTACTCTAGTCTTCACAGTCTTTATACTTTTTAGACTCTATTATCCTTATATGGTATTTTTATAACAGAAATAATAAGAGGGGGAAAAGTACAAACTGCTAACTGGGTTCATCTCAGTCCCTGTTAAAGCAGAATATCTATAATGACTAGTGAATGACAAGGTTGTACCATATTCAGGCTGTAGTAGTATATATAGTATTGTACTAGTCTGGTAAGTAGGATTTCAGCCGAGTGTGCAGAGAGGTTGCAGTGTGTGATGCAGCCCTTTTAATGCAGTGCTCCGTGAGCTGTGGAGAGGGGGAGCAGACGCGCCCGGTGGTGTGCATGGGGACCGCGGGCATCCGGCTCCCAGACTATGCCTGCAGTTCGCTGCCCAAACCGGAGACAGTGCGGACGTGCCAGAGACAAGGCTGCCCCCGGGAGATCAGATGGCACATTGGGGACTGGGGGCTGGTAAGACCTCTCAGGAGGGACCTCACTGACAGCCGTTTCAGGAGATCCAGGGAGGATCCCACTGTTCACTGAAGGGATCTCCAGGCTTCTCTCAGTTCAGTGCTCATAGGTGTGACTGGAGCCAGTAGACACAGCTCTTAATGAAGAAATATTGAAGAGTGAAGTGAAAAAAGAAGTCTGGTTGTTATGTTTCACAAGTTAGCTCAACAGATGTGATAATGCCAACGTGTCTCCTGGCTAGCGCTCAGATATAGCTGCATGATACAGTTCATATATAACACCTAGTAGTACCACTAAAACAATAGAAATTCATCTTCTACATGTTGAATGTGTAATATGAACAAAAATTGCCTCCTGTTTGGTAGGATGTGTGTAGTAGCACCAGGTATGAAATGGTGCGCCAGTGGTTTGTGTCTGTTTGCTGAGGGAAGGTCTGGGGCGCTGTCTTGTCCCTGCAGTGCTCGAAGAGCTGTGATGTGGGCCTGCGAGAGCGCCAGGTGATCTGCGCCGACCGGGACCGCAACTTCTACAACGGGGAGCTGTGTGCGGCCGACCACAAGCCTTCCACTACGGAGCAGTGCAACACCCAGGCCTGCTTCCTCCCGCAGTGTGAGTCTGCTGCCCCCTGGACTGCAGCTCTGTTGCTACAGTATAGCGGTACATCTGTCTTAACATGAACTGTGTGCTTGTGTGCAGCGGTGCCCAGCATGCCCGACCCGAGGGGCTATGACAACACACGCCTTGGCATTCTGGTGCCATACATCTCTGAAGAGCCCCCCACAGGTTAGTGTGCCGCCCTAGTTACTAGAGTGGTGCTGGCTAGGTATTAGGTTATATAACATTAAACCTAGGGGCAGGGAATGAAATAAGTACATTGTTTAACTTCATCTACTGTCTCTATCAGTGAGGTTGGAGAAGTGAAACAGTAAGTCACTGCTGTACTACTTTCAATGTTGTAGCTCCCCTACTGTCATTTATTTTCCCCTGGTATAGTTGGTCATTATTAGCATGACTATACAGAATGTCTGTCTGGTATACTTCCTGTTTTAAAAGTACATTTATGGGACCAAGAGCTGGCAGGGAAAGAGCCAGAGCACATAAGTAACCCTTCACAAGCTGACGTGTTTAACAAGTCTTCATCCACGTGGTTGCCACGTTATAATTAAAAGTGTTATTGAAGAGTTTTTTTTGGTTGCTCTGAGGTTATTTAACTTCGCACTGCAGGTTTGCTGTAGCGTTGGAGGGCTGACTGGGTCATCTGACTTAGAAATCCGCTGGTTTTATGAGGCTCAGAGGCTACATCTGTATGGCAGGCAGGAAAGCTCACGCTGTGCGCCTCACTGTTGCTGCAGAGCCTTACTCAGACGCTCCCGCCTGGTCTGTCATTCCATTGCTGTGAAAAATTGACACAGCAGACGCAGAAACTTGACTGAAATTAGTTGGTTTTGAACATGGAAAGGCAGAAATTTAAAGAAGTATTACAAAAATTTATATTTTTTTAAATTATGCTGGTTAACAGGCTGGCATTATGCTGGCAAAGGAACAGGTAAAGGGTTTTTCAATGCTGAAAGGGAAAAAAAGGGATGTAACATTTTGGCTGAAGGCTCCACAACTGAGAGTGTGATGTGCAGAGGATTAACGGCCAATTAGTGAGATGAAGGTACATTTTTACAGCCTGCATTTATTTTATCTTTGCCCTACAAAACATCTGGACATCATTTGTGAAGTCTGAAAAGAAAAGCAAAATTAATTTAACTGCACTGTATTTGTCTTTGTAGAACTTGCTTAATTTGTTGTTTCCGAGAGGAGGTACAGTAATTGCTTCTATGCAGTTAAAATTAGTAATAATTTAAAAGGTGTTATTCATTAAAGATATGGGTTGCAAGATATTGACGCACACTTCTGACAGGATGCTTAGATGTTTGAGCTGCTTAGTAACTGGAATGCCTCGTCTCAACTGTTATGCTCTTTGTGCGAGCAGACATTTTTCACAGTCTTAAAATTTTGTCGGCGAATGCTTTTTCTGTATCTCTGCCTCCGGGTTACCTGTTGTTGTGACGAGGAGGACTGACTGTGCTCGGCTCAGTTTACAGGAGAGATGAGTACAGGGAAGCCAGGGGAGACAACCCCTGGCCGGATAACAGGCGGAGCGACACTCTGTACGACCGCTGGGTGTCCCAGCCTCAGAGCTGCTCTGAGTCCCAGTATGGCTGCTGTCCAGATGGACGAACTCCTGCCAGTGGACCCCTGGGCAGTGGCTGCCCCATACACAGCTGTGCCGAAACCAGGTAACCCCATTACACTGACGGCTTCCCAATGATTTCAATACTGGACACAAATCATAAAGCAATAGCGATCATGATGATAGTTTATCATTACTGAATAGTTTCTAAGTGTTTTATATCCCAATACGGCAATGTGATGGAAATGTAGATTATCAAGGATTTGGACTCTCCTTGTATTGAGGATGGGGAAAAGAACAATGTATTTTACCAGAAAGGATGAGACTGTTGTCTTGCAGGGGAGCAAATATTTTAGTGAATGTAGGGAATCGAGTGAAGAGAAATTAGCAGTGTTGTTCTATGAAATACGCAACATTCATGAACTCGCATATTGCGAAACTGATAAAATCGTTTGTTTTGAAATGTCAATATATCCAGATTTTAACATTCCATTTTCCACTATTATATTTCTAATTAGAGGGCTTAAATAAGTTTTCCATCACACCTGTTTTGAGAAGAATTTTCCTATTAGTGCTTGCTTGCCTGAACTGAAGTAAGAGTTGGGGGGCCTGTGTTGGACAGGTCTGAGAATGTGTGTGTCTGTGCTCTGCTCTGCAGGTACGGCTGCTGTCCAGATGGGGTGACAGCTGCCCAGGGTCCAGACGGGGCTGGGTGTCAGACCAACACGGTAAGGGCTACACACCACACACATTTAGGTGTTTGCAGGTGGCTGCTACAGGAACAGTGTAAATGATGGCCAGTGGAATATATCTCCACAGCTGTGAGACAAGTCTGTCAAGTACCTTTCGCCAAACTGACAGTCAAATATTGTTTCCAGCTAACCACTTTTTATGTTTGAGATGATGTTTCAGACAATGTCTGTTGTCTTGCTTACTCGTTTCCCTGCTGGAAACGCCATTCCTTTCACTCTCTTCCAGGTGCAGTAGTTTCTCCTCTCATCTGAAGAACTCTAAAATACGTACACCTCAACGTACACAATCTTTAGATTAAATCGTGAATAATTGTGTAATTTTCCTTTGGCACAGCAGTAGCCAATTGCAATAATTGATTAGGCTGTCTTTAGTACACTGGAGCTCTGTGTGACCGTAGTGCTGGCTGTGCTCTCGTAGCTGAACGTGAGCTCTTTGTCTCTCCTCTCTCTCGCCAGCAGCACCATCCTGCCGCTCCCAGGAGGGAGCCCAGTGAGGCCTGCCGCTCTGCTAACTATGGGTGCTGCTATGATGGGCTGACCCTAGCAGCAGGCCCCAATGGGGAGGGCTGTCCCGGCCAGCCCAATCACTGTGAGTGCACTGGCAGACTCACTCTGATGCCCTTAATGGTCCAACAGTATTTGTATTGTATTACAGTGGTTAAGGGGGACATGGTGGTGCAGTGGTTAGCATTGGGCTAACCCTGGGTTCAACTGCTGGGTTACTATCTGTGTGGAGTTTGTATGTTCTCCCCGTGTTCACATGGGTTTCATCCTGGTGCTTTGGTTTCCTCCCACAGTCCAGAGTCTTACTAGTTAGTTAAATGGCTTCTGGGAAAATTGGAGCTGATGTGAGTGTGTGCGTGTCTGTGTCTACATGTGCCCTACCTTGCGCCTGTGGCTCTCTGGGATAGGTTCTTGACAACCCTGTACTAGACAAAGCGGTTAGAAGATGGATGGATACAGTTAATAATTCATTCATCTTAAACAATTCCGAAATTCATATGGCTGATGGGCCCTAAATCAAGTGATGACTGTCATTACCTGCTTACCAGAGACCACCACATAGGATTTTCAGAAGCTTTTTTTCCGGACAATATGCTTTTTAATTGTAAAATTTGATAATCGACTCTTAAGCAGTCAAGTCTGTAGATGATCCCAAAATAGAGATTTAGCAAATACTGCAGAAACTGAAAATGTGTTTCAAAGAGATTTCTATAAAATGGAAGATGGGGCAAATACCTTGCAGGTGACTTTTAATGTAGCCAAGTGAAGGGTTTTGCATGAAGGTAGCAAAAACATAAACTGTAAAAAAAACAGGAGAGGTGTGCTAGAAGAGGCTGCTTATGAAAAAGGTTTATGTTGAGACGTCATTTTGCATCATTTATATTCTCTAGACAATGGGGGTAAAGTCGAGAGATGTTATGTTAAAAAAGTATAATGTCCTAGTACGACCTAATTTAGAATACTGTGTACAATATAATATCATATTGAATATTATAGTATTGCTGCCCTGAAACAGTCAAGAGAAGAGCAACCAGATACATTCCAAGGCTTAAGGGAGTGTCCTACACTGACAGGCTAAAGGAACTGAACCTTTTTCAGTATAAAACAGACAGGGTTACAAGGAAACCTGATATAAGTATTTAAAAGTTCTCAAAGGCAGAGACAAGGTAAAATCGGCAGTGAGCTCAGTACCAAACGGGCTAGGTGGGCCAGATGGGTTTTGGGTCTTTCTAAGCTGGACAGTCGGTTGTGAACTGCTGTTGTTTGACCCCTCTGTGTCACCACAGCTCACCCTCTGGCCTGCATGCTGCCCAACACAAACGGGCCCTGCTCAGACTGGACTGCCCGCTGGTTCTATGACCCCTCCTCCGGGGGCTGTGGCCGTTTCTGGTATGGAGGTTGCCAAGGCAACCGCAATAACTTTGCCACAGAGGAGGAGTGTCTGCGGGAGTGCCGGGGCCTGGCCACACAGAGCAGGGCGTACGGAGATCGCCACCATTTCAGATTGACCACCCTGGCTGAGAGAGGTCCTGCCGTATCACTGGAGAACAGCAGGGCTCAAGGAGGGGTCCGGCTGCAAGGATCCGTTCAGCGGGAGGACCGTGGGACACTGACTGCAACAGACACTTCAGTGCGGAGAGTGTTCACTGTGCATCGGGGCTCTGAGAAAAATATGGACCCTCACCGAGGCCTAGGGCACAGCAGACTGAGTATGAGCTCCTTTATTAGGCCCGTGGCCAGCACCATCGACAGAGGCCTGCCCGACGGGCAGGTACAGTCGCAGCCCCGTGCCGAATTTGTGGAGGGGCAGCACAGCAAAATTCACAGCGTCTCCACTCAGCAGGCCTCCATCTCGGCCAGACAAGACAGCAGCTCCAGCTGGACGCTGCAGGATCAAGGAAGGGGACCTGAGAAACACCCGGCCTCGAACCGCATGCCCCTGCCGCCAAAACCACCTGGCCCCCAGCCTGCGAAAGGACCAGCCCGGCTCCCCGAGGAGGGCACCACCAGTACTGCGCCAGGGCACCCAGAGGAGGAGCGAGGGGGCGGCTCGGATGGCGGCGATGGGCCTCCGCGCCCGGCAAGGCCAGCTTTCCAGCTCCCAGTGGGCCTGGTTGACAGCAGAACTCTACAGAGGTAAGGGGCCCGCTGGCCACAGAGAGTTTCCCTAGTGAATCCTGGAGCCAGTGCCTTTCAATAGCGTAAATAAGACATACGTAGAATTTAACAGTTATCTACCAAGACACATTGGGTTTATTTCCTTCTGTGTGGTATGGTTTAATTCCTTATAATTCCCCCACGTAGCATGTTTAAACAACACATATGGAAATTATGTGAAGAGTAAGCTTTGGATTCTCTTTAAGTTTGGGCCAGGTAGCTATGGTGCTAGTGTAAGACATGCTGTATGGCAACTGGCTGTTCACTTAGCAATAAATAATTACTCACAGAAAAACCAGGTCAGAACACCGTTAATGTCCACGCGTGACTTCCTCCTCCTCCTCGAGTCATATTCCTTCTGGTGTGAGATGCTGTTGGGTTCTGCTCTTGGAAGACGGGCGACTCCGGGTGTCGTTCCCACTGGCAGACGAAAGTGTATCTCTCTCCCCAGGCTGAGTATTGACAAGTCTGGCCCCTCGTCGGTGGAGGGTCAGATGGGACAAACTGTGAGGCTGCCCTGCAAGGTGACCCCCCACTCCTCCGGTGTCACTGTGGAGTGGAGAAAGGACAGCCAACCCATCAGCACCCCCAGGTGAGGAATCCTAGAGCATGATAGGTATCTGTCTGTGTCCCAGACATAACATCCTTTATTAGTGAAGTAATTCTTCATGATTAATGAAGTAAATTCTGAATATGCAGATCATATTGTCTGTTTTTTCAAAAGTTGTTTGATGTATCCATAAATATTGCTCAGAATCTGAAAGAACCTAAGAAACTATAACTATGCTATAACTATATGGTTAAACCTATAACTAAGAAACATACGGTTGTACCACAAGCAAAGCTGAGTTACTTCATTATCAAAGGTTTACACTTTACATAAAATATACAGAAACATCAAACAAATTCTGAATTTGTAGTCGATATGGTTAACAAAAGCTGTGATTTCCAGACATTAAGAAGGGTTTAGTACTATATGGTCCCTATGGTCAGCCTTACTTATCTCATGGGACACATTTCATAAGTGCTATTGATTTTGTTAGTTGGTAATGTGTACAATTCCAGTTTTATTTTTTCTGCAGCTTGCACAGTTTTATCAGTAACAGGAATTTAAAGGATTGTATAATTTTTCATGTTTACATTAATCCACCTAATTCATAAAAAGTTACATTGATTTGTATATTTGGGTGTTCTGATTATTTTCTATAATCTTTGCTGGGATTTGTAAACATTTGATACAGCACACAAATAATGTTGGTAGATTAAAAATGAAGCAAAAGCATAACAATTCTGAACCTTCAATTTAATATGCAGGTATTTAAAAGGATTGTAAAAATATTAATTAAAATAGTTTTTCCCATTAAGTGCAATACTATTTTGTTTTTGTTTACTGATGCTTTTAAAACCCTCAGTCTACTACCTAGAGCAACACTATAGTGTGAACTGCAGTATTTATGATGGTATGTTAATACCACCATAATAAACTAGAATGACTTGTAATACCGTCTCACTGCAGTTATTACTGTAGCATAAGGTATAGTATATATAGTATGAACGTAGTTATAAATTGTATGTCTTATATTGGCAAATTAGTAAAGAACTGGCTCTTTGCTGTTCTAGATGTGGTCTTCATTATTTTCTCTGGCTGGAGCTGATACATGCTATCAGATAGAGAACTAACAATAATTTTGTCCAAATTAGGATGATACCAAATCAGGATGATGTCATAATTGTTTCACTTATAAGACGATAAGCTATGACAAGTAATTCCATAAGAGTTCAATTCCTGCTGTGGATAAAGAGAAAAGGATATTAGTAACATTAATATTTAGCTGGTGAATTTACCTGAGGGCTGAACTTCACAACAGTATGTTGTCTACAGCAGGGAAAGTCCACCATTATAGTCATTCTAAACTGTACCAGTGAAAAGAATGAGGTAAACCAGTAGACTGGTAGGAGCAGGGAAGAAAGTATTTTATGTTCCAATAAGGTGCAATCTGTGAAGAAATCTTTTATATTACCTACATGTTACAGCCTTCACAAATTCCAAAAAATAATCAAATAAGTGGTCATGAATCCCTTGTTTTTCTCTTTGCATTCACATACCAAACAATCATTGAAATTGTACTTAAATTTACTACAGCTACGCAGAGCAAATTTAAAAATGAAGGCTCCAGAGCAAAGAATAGCGTTGTTAGATGGTACAGCACATTGGATGAGCAGTAGTACTAGTGGTGGGCCTCTTGGGATGTTGTCTTTGTTGGCCAAGAATGAAAGTCCACTCTCAGTGCTGGCGAAGAGCGAAGGGGCTCCGACTTTGAGCTGTGTTCTCTGCACCAGACACCGACAGCAGGCGGATGGGTCGCTGCTGGTTGGCCCGCTTAGTTCCCAGGACACTGGCTGGTTGTTGTGTGTCGCATCCAGTGACCGAGAGAGAGACCATCTCTACATTTACCTCTCTGTCTCAGGTAAGGACCTGATTGGAAGACACTTACGGTATGTTACAACAGACTTTTAACTTCACTTACACTGAGATACGAAGGCACCGTATCACTGTTTGATTAGCTTCAAACAGTGTCAATACTGTGCATCAATTCTTGCGTTCTGCCATAAGACTGTACAACGCATCAATCTTGCATCTGGGCAGAAGCAACATTGACAGTGACCTGTTTCTGGACTGAACAGTAAACTGAAACATCTGTTCTTTTTCCCCATTTACAACTGTTTTTGTCCAATATATGCCAGGGACCCATGCAATACATTTATATTTATAGTCATATTGTGCAATACGACTTTTTTGTGTACTGTTCTGTTCTGTTTTGTTCTTTGTATATTCTGGACTGTGAGTAACTCTTCTTAGGGCACTTCTCACTGTACTAATTGTATTGTATGTATTGTATTATTATTATTGTGTCATTTGTTACACTGTGGCTGTGTTGTCTGTGTTAAGCTGCTGTTGCACTGCAATTTCCCTCACGGGATCAATAAAGTATCTATCAATGCTCTACCTGTAATATGTGGACGTAATTTAATAATGTGTGTTAAAGTGCTGCTTTCATAATGATTGCAGAAGATGCCCGCTCAGCTCCAGCATCCCAGAACCCCTCGGTCCAGCAGGGCAGTGGCCAGGTGTCCGGATCTAGAGTCCACAGGTACTGTCCCTCCCACACACTACTACAGAGGACAGCGCCCCTTATCTGCCCCAGTGCTGTCCCAATAATAATGTTGTCCAATGTATTTCGAGGCAGCAGTGTTAGTTGATCATAACTGAAATTTTTAGGTTGTTTTCCATTTTAAAGAATGCATAAAGAACAAATGAGACCAGAAGTAGAGCTGTAAGATAAGTGAAGGCGATCTTGTGAATAAGTGTTTCCAAAAGGAGCAATATCGAGCTGAGCAGTTTGGAAATGTCCTTGTTGGCTGCATCCTTGACTGTGATTTGTGAGGCTGGGGGTCATTCTCGCAGGGAGATGTGAGCTTTCCTCTCTGTCTCCCCCAGGCTGAGCATCGACAAGTCCGGGCCTTCGTCGGTGGAGGGCCGCCCAGGACAGACGGTCAGGCTGCCCTGCAGGGTCAGCCCCACCTCGGTCTCGGTGGAGTGGAGGAGGAACGACCGCCCCCTCACCTCCGCCAGGCAAGTGACCTCCTAATCCCTGGGCGTGTTCACAGCAGGACAGAACTGGGCATGCGTGTTCCTGTGGGAAGGTCGTTTCAATCGAATCTAATACCAGAAAGAACATCCATGCATTGCCTGTTAATAACATACAACTGAAGACTCCTGTCAACAGAAAGACTCTTATTCATATGCACTGTAGTTCAAGTAGGTAGCTGGGGCAGCAAGCGTAGGCTGCAAAGGAACAAGTGAAGGTTTATTCCTTGCTGAAAAGAGAAGAAAAGAAACACAATGTTTCAGCTGTGGAGCCTTCTTTGGCTGTGTGGAAGAAGACAGATCCACAGCTGAAATGTGTTTTTCTTCCCTTTACTTGTTCCTACGCATGCTGATATGGATAAGACATATGCGTTGTAGTCCCTTATGAGCCTGATACATCCTTTCAGCCTGTACAGGTGGAATGCGAGAGGATGCTGTCCCATATATTGTGAATGGCTGTGCTGTGACAAATTCTTGCTAAGCTATGGAATCAGCCAGTCTGTTGTATAAATAAATTCTTATACTACAGTATACACCAGCTCAGGGTATCTGTAATCTTGCCACTGAAGAGCCAGTCTGTCTATATTAAGTTACAGTTTTCCTGGTTTTATTCTGTCTTTGGACCAAGAGAATAGAAATTAAATAGAAAGAACTCTGTTCTCCATCCTTGAGATCTCATCCCATGCTTAAAAGCATACACTCACTAACTCTTAACCTTCGTGCTTTAATTACTGTTAAAGCTAGCCTGGGCTGTACTGCCTTACTCTGAGCAGCTCAGCCGCTGCTGTGTGTTGTATTCCAACTGGCAGATTGTGTGTTCTTGCACAGGCACACGCAGCAGTCCGATGGTTCCCTGGTGATCAGTCGTCTGAGCTCGGAGGATTCTGGTTTTTACACCTGCACTGCCTCCAACGGCCAGCAGAGGGTCCACCGCCAGCTACAGCTCCGCGTGCTGGGTGAGGAACTCTTCAACACAGCTCCCCATTCCTTACTCATGAAAATACTGAATTCTGTAACAAGGTCATTGACACAAAATCAAAAAACCATGTGAAGACATATGGTATGAAAATTAAAAGCATTTAAATGGAAACTGAATTGGAATTCTTCCAAACAATTGGAATTAAATACAAATGTAAATTGAATAATATTGCATAATTTGAATAGCGGGATGGCTAAGGCATAGGTAAAGTAATTGGAAAGTCGCATAATTATCAGTTACTTTGATGAAAATGTTTACTTGGAGAAAATTAGGACTTTGAGAAAGTAGCTTCTACCTGTTTTTGCAAGCTATTTTAATTTTGAAAGTGATTCAGACTGTGAGGGTAACAGGAATGTTCGTGACGCTCTACAGGAGACCTGCGGATCACCACTGCCCCCAACAACGTGCAGGTGTCCCAGGGCAGCAGCACCCAGCTGCCCTGCGTGGTGTCTGGCAGCGACGTCAACGTGGGCTGGTCCAGGTGAGGGCAGTAGGACGCCGCTAGGGGGAGACACCACCATGCATTAATAATTATTATTATTAATAATAAAAAATAATAATATATTTCACTTATATAGCTCTTTTCTGGACACTCCACTCAAAGCACCCTACACGTAATGGGGACTCCCTTTCACCAAGGTGCAGCCCCACCTGGATGATGCGATGGCAGCCATAGTGCACCAGAACACTAGCCACACAGAAGCTATCATTAGGGCGGAAAAGAGTGATGAAGCCAATTCATAGATGGGGATTATTAGGAGGCCATGATTGGTAAGGACCAGTGGGTAATTTGGCCAAGACGCCGGGGTTATACCCCTACTCTTTTCAAGAAACACCCTGGGATTTTAATGACCGTAGAGAGTGAGGACCTGAGAGTTACGTCTCATTCGAAGGATGGCGCCTTTTTCTATAGAGTACCCGTCAGTATACTGGGGCATTCGGACCCACACAGACTGCTGGGTGAGCGCCCCCTGCTGGCCCCACTACCACCTCTTCCAGCAGCAACCTTAGTTTTTCCCAGGAAGTCTCCCATCCAGGTACTGACCAGGCCCACACCTGCTGAGCTTCAGTGGGCTGCCAGTTGTGAATTGCAGGGTGATACAGTATGGCTGCTGGCAGAAATGGCATAAATTGCTTTGTGCTTGGATTTACCCATTCTATTTTCATTGGCACTGCCAATCATCAGGCTCGACAGATCCTCCTTGCAGTGTAAAAAGTAGATCAGAATGAGGTGGCGCAAGAGGATTTACATCTTAAATCATGAATGACATGAATATGAGCATATAACAGGTTTGGTCCTCAGCTGTGGATTAGGGTGGATGGCTTAGATGAACAGTAGAAACCTTATGGATTTAGTAAATGCGCTTCAAAACTGTTTTTACCTTCCGCTTGCAGGACACAGACAAGCAGATGTGTGAATAGCTATTCTCTCTCAGTTTGACCTAGTCACTGTTGCGGGCTCAGATATTACCTTACAGTCCGTTTGCACCCCTGAAGCCAGTGACTACCAGGAAGAAACAGTGCCTTCAGTCTGGCCTGGGTTTGCGTTGTTGTCACCCCTGCTTGATGCCCTGCCTCTCTCCTTCAGGAACGGCGTCCCGGTCCGACCCGATGGCCGTCACGTGCTGCTGTCGGCAGACGGCAGCCTTATCCTCAATAACGTGCAGCCCAGCGATGAAGGCTCCTACACCTGCAATGCCTACACTGGCACCTACTCCGTCAGCGCCACGGCTGAGGTCAAAGTCGCTAAGGGCACAGAACTAGGTAATATGCACTGCCTCTCATGCTTGGGCAGGCTGCTCCTCCTCCTGGAGACTTGAGTCAGAGCCTCTGAAAAGACTCGGTTACTGGTGTTTTAGTTCTAGTTAGAATTGTGCAGAAATCAGAGGCCCTTTAAGGGTTTTGAATAGCATCCGTTTCCAAGATTTTATTACAAGTATTCCCCCTTTTTTTTATTACAACTTGGCAGTGAGTTTCTAGAAATGATGGGTTTAATGCATTGAAAAGAAGAAGTTATCAGACATTTCTGGACTATGCTTCTTTCAGGAGCTGGTACAGGTAAGTACATTGATAATAAATAGGCTTAAGCCTCACAACTTTGAATCTGAATCTGAAAGAATCATTCCACTTGCCTGTTTTGAAGCAGGCAACTCTGCCGCATGAATGGAATGGGCTTGGTGAGTTAACTGTACAGCCATGGCAGAGATATGAGTGGGATGATGTGATTAATCTACAGTGGAAGCAACAGTCCCTTTATTGTGCAATGCTCAATGGCTCCTGCAAGCAGAAGCTTTTCTTTTCACAAAGAATCATTCTTAGTCTCATGCACTTAGCCCAAAAGGCCAGACAGTGAAAGGATTGTTCTTTTCCTCCCAGCGCTGCCCTCCAGGCCTAACACAGCGGAGTGCATCGATCAGCCAGATCTGGCCAACTGTGACCTTATTGTGTACGCCAAGCTCTGCTCCAGCGAGTACTACTCCAGCTTCTGCTGCGCCAGCTGCTCCAGCCACAGCCAGCCAGCAGGGAGACATGCTGAGCAGGGATAGAGGCTGCAGGAGCACAGGGCTCACCCAGGAGAAGCAGTGGCACCAGCAGCTTCTGCAGAGACATCAGCCTGGGCGTCTGCACACAAGAGGCTGGCTGTGGCCGGTGCCTTGTGCTGAGGGTGTGCCCAAAGACTCATGCTTCTGCTGTCTCTAACCACTCCCTCAGAGGTAAACAATAAATCTTTGACAATGTTGTTAACAATTAGGTAGCCCTTTGCACAGTGCCTTGTTTCATGTACTGTTGGGGTGTGATTTTCAGCATGGGGAAAATGTTTTAATTACAAGCCAGTAAGAACCTGCCATAGCTTGATCTGCAAAAACTACATAAACATATTTACATTACACATAACAATGAAATTCTAATCATAAAATGTTCCAATCCTGAGACCAGTACTCTTGATGTCATTTCTGCTCCCACCCGTATGGTCCAGTAAAGCCATGTCGAGCCAGCAGTAAGAACAGCACTGAAGCTGTTCAGTAGAGATTCTGCTTTTCTGAATCACTTAGTAGTTAGTTGCCCTTCAGAGCCTAGTTTTACAACAGTGACAGAGCCTGGAAACATGAGGAAGCTGAGATGTAAGTAGAGAGGGGAGGGAGGCCTAACTGCTAAACTGTTTTCTGGCTCACATTTCCATAGTCATCCACTCTAGCGCCCCTCCTAGACACGAGCAGTGGTGTGCTTAATTTACACCAGCTGCCTCACACTTCACATTTGTCTCCTGGGCAGACCTCGGCATCGCACACGGCTGTGTGCCAACAACTTGCTCAGGGCTGCAAAACACAGATCAAACATATTTCTTGTGCTGATTAATGGAATAGGTGGAATCAGAAGAGATTCTTGTCTAGGGAGCTTGTGCACATCTGTAGCCTCTGGACTATGTGCTGCATGCATTTAAGGATGGTAAACAGGCAAGCGCCTTTTTGTAACTCCTGTAACATCTGAACTACTGTATTACTCCTTCCACTGGAGTTTCAGAATAGGCGATTTAATGATTGTAGGGTACTTTAAGAACAATCATACTGAAAATAATTAAGTGGTACAACATGTCATTGAAATTAAAAATATTATAAAATTATAAAATATTTCCTTTTCAGAACACCAGTTTTAACACTTTTTCAACACTCTTCCATGCTGTGTAAAATTACACGCTTGTCATTTAACAACGTAGTACAGCAGGAAGAAGAAAATGATTTTTAATTCAATGGATAATAGGATGAAACAAAATATTCCTCAAGCCTCAGTGTGGTAGAGATTAAGTAAAATTTGCTGGAGGAAACCAACTATTATTAGTACAAAACATACTTCAATCTTGGCTTTTAAATATAAATCAAAGTAGTCAGCCATTATAGGATGACAGCAGAATATAAGCCCAGGTAATTTAATATTTGGAAAAAAGGTTATTTTGTATATAATGCAGTATTTGTGGTATTTTCTAAAAAAAGTAAACATTTTTTAAACGTTATCAGTTTCTTAGCAGATGTGTTTTCTGTTGTTTTAAAGATTTAAGCAACAGAAAGACTTGATTCTTTCCAGGTACTGTAAATGGTGTGTGTATTTGTAAAGCTTGTCTTCTGTCTGCATTACATGGTCTAAATAAATTTTTTAAAACTTTTTTTAATCAGTTGGTCACTTTAATTGCAATGCAGACTGCAGCAGCTTTGAGTTCTCATTTGTTTGTCAATACTCATTATCTCAAAACTTTAAAGCAGCACTGAGACTATTTCATGAGGGTAAAAACAGTGATGTCTACCCCAGTCATGGAAAGAAGGAGGATCCACTCACTGGTGAAGCCCAGATTAGCTCCCCCTGTGAAGGCCACCCTGCAGCACAAGCTAGGCCTTGCCCTCAAAGACTGGGGCTTGACCAGCAGACCCAAAAAATGTCTGAAAAGGACACCCTATTGAATTTGTTTCTATAAATTCATAACCCTGCTGCCAGAAAACAAAGCTAGAGTAACTCGGCTTGAACAAAAGGTTGTTAAATAAATCAATTCTGCTACTCTACTGCTTAATTGCTCTCATTGCTTGTAAAAGTTTGGTAACTGTAGTTGGTTAACGTTTTCCTAATATAATGCAAATAAAAGGTCATAAAACTTCAAACAGGTTTGTGATGCAAAAATAGCATGTCAATTCACTTGTAAGCTGCATGCAAAGCATATAAATACACAGGAGATTGGACATCCAGATCCAGAACAAATTGCTGTTACACACCCTACGATACCTGTAAACCACTGTTTCCCATCCCATACCGATTCCCATACAGTGTGTTGTGTATGGTCTCATTTCCTTTTATGTGTGTATCAATTATCACTGCTGCACTCTTTAATAATAAGAGATAATGAGAGTAAGTCAAATACTCCACAGATATGTACAATGTCACTAATGAATCAATGAAATTTCATAGTCAAAGGAACTGTGGATCAAGTGACAATTAACAGCAGAAGAATTTAAAACTGAAAACAGGCAACAATTCTTACATGGTGTCATAGAAAAGAGCCTGCTGTAATTCTGAAGCTGAAGCCCTCAGATTATGCAGTAAATGGCTGAATATAGCTCACAGCCAGATGAACAAACCAGGCTCAATGGTCCCGTTGCTGGTTTTGTCCTTTTGTTTGCGATCTTTAGATTTCAAACCCTTGCATTTCACAGTTTCCCACACACTTACACCTGAACACTCTCACCTGCGGCCACCCTCACTTGATAAAAAAACTGCACTACACACAGATTCTACCACCGCCTTTTATTCAATTTTCTCAAATGGTTTGGAAATAAAAATGAAGGAATTAAAAACAAATCAGTAGAAAGTCCTGATGACAGGGCTCATTGCAAGACGAAAGGAGGACTACATAAAAAGCAACCCTCTTCCTGTTTCTGTAGTATACTCAGTACTGTTTTAGTCACACCAAATCTCAGAAAGCAAACTGAGGCTCCAGCGCTATTGATGAATTTTCTCAGTGCTTGTGCAAACATACTTTAAATTTCTTTGTAGAAAAACAAAAACAAAACACATAAACCAATAAAACAGACAATAGTAATATAATCCATAAAAAGAGATCAAAACAACGTATGAAGATAACGGAACAAAAATTAAAAAGGAAAAAATGCTGGCCATGGATTGAAGCTGCCATGACAATACTTCTCTCTCCCTGTCGAAGATATAGGTGCTATATTATTGGGCATGATTGTTGCTGCAATTCAGACTAAATACAATAAAACGTCACCCAATCAGAGGATAACAGAAAAAAACATTCCTTCCTCCCTCCCACTGTACATACAATAGAATCAGTGATAAATCAAACTCTGTTATTATACTGTACATTTCACAACTAACCCTCACCTTTGGCAAGATTACTTACAACTCGTCTGTCAAATTACACAGCTATTTAAAATATACTAAATGCATAAAAATAAAGAATTTGGCATTCTGTCATATGCGTTCATTATTTTTTAAACCTCTTACATAACATGGAAGCTCATTTCTGTTCTTCGGTGCCGTCTCTCAAGGTGTGGAGATGTCATTGCTCAGTCTCTACCAACAGGGGGCACTCTCAGTGTGCGGAGGGAAGGCTTGAAGATGGTGAAAAATGGGGCCACTCCTGCCAGCTTGCTACCCCACTTCAGCAGGGGAGCCTTTGCAACGTTTCCACAGGATGATGGCCCGCTGGGTTTCAGAAGCTGCTTTGAAAATTAAAAAAAAAAAAAACTAAAAAAGTCTTTGAAAGAAAGCAGCTCGTCATTCCCCTCTGCAGTCTTCAATAATGTTACATACTTGTATTGAGATTTGACGATTGTTTTTCAGAGCAGTTTACAAGTTCCTGTCGCAGGCAGGGGTGGGGAGACCGCGCTCCCTCCACCCCTGCTCTTAAAGTTCAATCTCAAAGGTCTTCTGTAGCTCGCTGGAGAAAGGGTTTGTGGGAGAAGGGGTGGTGCGTTGCCGGGACTTGTTCTCCAGAGCCGCCCACTGAGCTTCGAAGGCATCGGCTGGCTCCTGGGTGGCGGAAGGAGGCACCCAGCTGTCGGCCCCATTGAACGCTGCGTTCCCGTTGGGTTGCGGCTGTGCGGGCAGAGGCGGCGGCGGCTGTGCGGGCTTATAGAAGGGACTGGCGCTGGGGCACGCCGAGTCGTACTGAGGAAAGGAGCTCTGTTTAGGGAAGGAGGCTGGCATGGGCTGGGGCTGGGGCTGGGGCTGGGCGGCAGTGCCAAAGACATTGGCGACCATCTGGGAGGGTGTGATGCCCACCACAGGCACACTGGGATTGCTGTAGGAGATGCCGTTGGTCATTGGGTAGCTGGGTGGAGGTGGGTGGAAGGTAGGCTGTCGGGGGGGAATGATGGGCACAGCGTTCGGCAGTGGTGTTATGAAGGCGTTGACAGGGTAGGGTTGGGGCACAGCTGGTCCCCCCATGGTGGGTGTGGGCTGCTGAGCACGCACCGACTTGGAGACCTCTTCTAGCCAGCGGTCGGCCTCTGAGGGAGTTCGTTTGTGGGTGGGCTGAGGGGGCGGCGCAGCTGTGGCAGAGGCTGCAGGAGCTGTACTTGTCCAGTCTCCACCTAGGGAAGCCACACACAATCATTCAGTTAAGTGCTTTCACCCGTTGTGCCTCATTCTGAGTCCAGCCCACTGTAAAACAGCAGCAAGACTTTGCTGGTGCCCTAAAACTAAATGCTCTTTTATAGACTTCCTGGGAATCACTGGAACAGATTAAGGACTGTGCAATTTATTGGAATGAATTGATTTTTGATATTTCTTTCCATATTTATGCAGAAACATTTCTCTCTAGCTTAATTCCTAACTATCCAGTATAATTATGTGGAAAATCACAAAAAGTAAGTGGTACATGCAGACTGAAATGTCAGAGGTCTACAACAACATGTTTTGATGCAATGTTGTGGAACCAGGAGGACTATTTAGGTATAATGAGTTAGGATCCCTGAACTTCCTCAGCACTCATGTTGAAGTGAAATCTTGCACATCAAAAGTGCAGTGAAAACAAATGTAATTACAGCCACTGTTCTTACAAGCAAGCCTCACAGTGTAACAGAGAAGTTCAAAATGAAGAGTTATGGGCTTTGTGTTATATTAAGTTGGAAGAAGGACACTAACATGTGCTGGTATTGTATAACAGAGGTGCCAAACAAGAAATTCAATATCATTTCAAGGAGAACATTGCACTGATTGTTACTCCCTCTGCTAAAGGCACTACTTTTCATTTTTGACCATTAGGCATCAAAAAGTAAATGTGTAATACTAGAATCACATGGAAAGGTGTCACTGGTACCTATAAATCTTTAACTGATAAAGTGTCTCACAAACGTATTCACCCCCATGGACATTTTACGGTATTTACTGTGTTACAATATAGAATCACAATGTATTTGGATTTTTTTGCTATCAATACAAAACACTCTATAATGTCAAACTGAAAACAAAATTCTAAATATAAGATAGGAAATAAGTAAATAAAACCGATAAGACAGGAACCAGTATAATGTGGAAGGAAGGTTAAACTGCACCAATACCAGAACAGCAGTGGAGCTCACATGCCAGCAAAATAGTCTTGTTTAAAACGGAAAAATTAGCATGTGTCTGTTTTAATAAAAATACACAGCAGGTCTTGAGCTTAATTTAAATACATGCTCACACTCCTGGTACAAAACAGACCACGAATAAACTGTCAATTAACTAAAATTACTCACTTTACAAATTCAACAATTTTTCTAATTTGGTTTTCTTCAGATACAGTACCATAAAAGGATGATTTATTAATGATTCAACTGTGTAGTGATTACTTTTAACAGCATCTTCACGAATAAAGGATAACAATGAATAACAGTTTTGACTTAAGTGATTTTGTATATTCAGATCATTTGAGCATTAGTAACTCATTCATTTTCATTTTCAATACCTCTAAATGGAATTCAATAAATGTTGTCTAAAACTGCGATTCTTTTTTATTAAATATAATTCATCACTACCTCATATGAAGCAGCTTGCACTGCTTTTCTTCTTGTTCCAAAGCCCAAGAAACTTCTTGTTAATTCTGAAACGGGCTGCATCAACATAAAAAATGTACATGCCCCTTCTGGATGTAAAAACCGACATTTCAGTCTCTTTTCACATAGGAAAAGATATGAGGATGATGATGACCATGTGATAAACTGGTGGCCAAAGGTTGTACCACTGTGACGAACCTGTTCCACAGGGAATGACTTTGTATATTCTGAAATGAGCGTTAATACTCACACAGAGCTCAACCAAACAGTTTAAGAAGGCTGAACAAATCAAAATTTCAAATAGACATTTTTAAACATTTCTGGGGTGCTTGTTAAAATGGTTTTATGGTACAAAGGGGAAAATAAATTAATACTATAGTTGGAAATATAAAATTAGCTTCAGAGACTGGTTGGAAACAAACGATAAACAGGCTACTGGTCAACATCTGGACACTGCTGGTAACCTGTGGAGCCTGAAAAATAGGGTGAAGGAAGCTCCATTACTCCTGTCAGATTGCGGTTCCTTGAGTGGAAAGCATGAAGCTTCCTGTGCCTGTTAAATGCGTCTCAATGCACAAAAATATTTTAATTCCCTTGTGATTTCTAGATTACACCAGCTCTCGTGGGTTTTAGCGGTGTGAGGGTAGTGCTCTCCCTGCAGGTCTGCCCAGCGCCTTACCTGTGCTGGTGCTGGGGCCAGAGCTCACAGCGGGGCCCTTAGCCCAGGGGTTAGTGTCGCGGGCGGGCAGCGGAGGCGGGAGCATGGAGGCAGCATTGACCGCGGGGTTAGCAACAGGCAGGGGGAAGGCAGAGGCAGCACCGTTAACTAGAGCCGCAAACAGAGAGCAGTTAGGACAAGGACGGCCTCCCGGCCACTTTGCAAATGTCATCAGCCGTGCTGATAGGAGCGCACACCGGACAGGAACGACAAACGCGAAGGAAAGCAGGCTGTACCTTGAGCAGCGGGAGACTGCGGAGAGGAGGCGGGTTTGGGCATGGGCGCGGACGAGAAGGGATCCTCAGCAGGGCCGCTGAAGGCAGTGGTGATCTGTGTGCACAGGGAGCTGATGCTGTCAGCCTCCCCCTCCACCTCGGGGACTGTCGGGGAGAGAGGAGCAGAGATGGGCAGGGGAAGGGGATGGAGGGCAGGAGGACAGTCAGCCTACTAACAGTCTCACATGGATCAGCTTTAGCTCTACACTGTCCACAACATGGATGGATCCAGGGCGAAACACTGTAGGAGCCTAGGATTTCTAAATCTCCACTGACGCTCAAATTGAATTCCAAATGTACAGTGAGAAATGTGCTAAATGGAAATAACAGATCAGCACCCCACAACTCATGCCAATTCTCTCAACTTTAGTTCACTTATTCACATTTCGTTTGGTTACTTCTGCTGAAAGCTGCAGCGCAGGATTGCGCAATTAGCACAGAATTCTTTTTTATGCATAACTTGAAAATTCCTAGATTGACTCCCCCCATTCTTGAGAAGCCCAAAAGCCAAAATCTGGTTTGGCACATCTTGTTGCTACAGGTACATTTTTCCACTGGCCATGTCTAAAATAAAATTCCAATAAAGGAAAATACCTATAAGGTGGGACTTCTAGAAATTAATCACTGTCAGAGATATCCCCAGACTTTGGCAAGAAGTTGAGCTACAGATTTCTCATCAGTGAGTTGCACAGCTCACTGCACTGAGCTCAATACATTTTTGTTAAATTTCTCAAAAACACAGTGAATGCATGTTTCAGCTCCATGTGAGTCATTTACAGTTATGCAAGTTGAAAAGTACAGTTCAGCTTGAGAAAATCCCTCTTTCATAAAGCTGATTAAACCCTGCCTAGTGCCCTAATGCCTGGATAAAAGACCAGGTGTGAGCTCTGGCTGCAGTACAGAAAGTGAAGAACCTGAGCCAGGGTCTCACACCAACTGCGAACAAGGCCAAGAGCCGACAAACCCCACACTAAGTGGTGAAACTGCCAGAGTTCATTAAAATCTTCACTAATTTCATACTTTTCAGCATAGTTGAACACGTTTCCCAAATGTAGTTACTGTTTGTAATATGAAGACTACATTCTAAAACCAATTTAATTAGAGCCTTCAGGATTCCCACATACAGTAGCAAAGAATGTCTACTAAGATACGCTGGAGTAATCAACGATTAATGGATTGAACTGAATTTTAAATAACATGAGGACGTCAGCAGAGCTAGATGTATCAGGAGGGTATCTTCTGTTGTATGATTAAATTGTTTCTGCCTGACACTTTCATTTTTTAAACACTGCAAAGTTCTGTTGTTTTTCTGATTGATTCTTCTTTCCTTTCTGTTATTGCTTTGCCTTTTGTGGATCAGTGGTTTCTCTTGGTCAGGTTGTCGCTGTAAATAGAAATGGGTTCTTGATAGACTTATGTGGTAAAACAAAGAATCTTAAGGATTATAAAACTATAACCTGAATGTGATCCACACATCTTAAAATTAAGAAATGGTCACTTAAATTTAACAGGATTTGGGTAAAAACATTCCTGTGGCTAACAGTCAATCAACATGTATTCTATTCACAAGAACTACATGTCCTGCAAAAACATTTTTACTGCTGACAAGCCAGGCAACAATCAAGCAAAAAAAGTTTGTGAAATCATGCAATACGTAACAGTTTGTCATAAATACTGCCTTTTTTATCTTAGGATTTAGGTCTAAAGTCTTTGGAAAGGACTTACAGTAGAAGGAACAAAGGTTAATTCAAAACAGTAAAATAGGAAAAAACAACTTTTCAGCGGCCGAGTCTTTTTCACACACCTGACACACCTGAAAAATGCTCAAGAGCCGAAATGTTGAGTTTCTTCTTTCTAATTTCCAATGTGGAATAAAGTTTTATTTGTTCCTTTACAGCAGACCCACATTGATGCAGATCCCCCTCAAACTTCAGTGGAAGGTTGTACTGGATTAATGTGTTAGAAAAACAGCAAAAAGGATTTTGCTATAAACCTTCTCTAACTCATGTTTCTGAAACATTCTTTCATTTACAATTCTAATATCTACAATGTAACATCACGATACCATTAATAAAGCCTGTTATGCTTGGTGCCATCAGATCTATGGTTAGTGGAAATCTTTATGGTATGTCAGAAACTAATAGAGATCACTTATTACTTGTTACATAATTTATAAGTGAACCTAAAAAAGCAAATGAAAAAGAAAACTACTTGCTGCAGTTATTTTTGGGGGGGCTTTCAGTCAAACTATATCATACTTGGATTAAATGAATTTGTGACTCTATAATATACCTGTGGAGCTGAAGCAACTGCCCCAAAAGGCCAAAAACGTCTTCCTGCAAACAGAATGCTCTCACAACATCCTTGTCATGCTACAGTGGCGCAGAAGACACAATGTCCTTGCTCTGGGCTGCAGGAATCTGTACGAAGGCACAGCCCTGGACAGAGGGCGCCTGTTAGAGGCTTACCAGAGTTCTTGATGGGGAAGTCGGACTTGCGCTGCATGGTGGAGGGCAGCTCATTCATGCGCAGGGACAGCTGGCGCTTGAAGGGCGATGTTTTCTGGCTGAGGACCGGGAAGCCCCGGAAGGAGCCCTGGCGTGCGAGGGCCTCCACAGGGGCATGGCGGCGGGGGATGGCGTGAGGGTTGGTGTCTTGGGGTAGCCCAGCAGGGGGAGAGGACGAGGAGGATGGGGAGGGAGGGGTGGGGATGGTCACTATGGGGTTGGCTACCGTGGATGCAGTGCTAACAGGAGCCTGGGTCTTCACATCTGTCTCAGCTGTGAAAAAGACACCTCAGTGAGCTACAAAGCTGAAACTGCGCACAAGCAACAGACATTAGTAAAAAGTTTCTGGTGGAAAACAGCCATTTTATTCCTTTGAAAGAAATATGCCAATTAACAAGACAAGAGTGGACCAATTATGTATCTGATGTGATGTGACGAGATTGATTTTTTTAAAGAGAACTTTAATAACACAAAGTTAAAATTAGTCTCCTTCCAAACACAAGCCAGGAACCAAGAGATCAGAGATGGTACAAGGACCACATTAGTTTGATTAGTATGAATACCATTAATTTATCTGTTTCACTTCTGAAACTAATTTCATGTATCTGAAGTAGGTATTGAATTTAACAAGACTGGGCAACTGTAAACCATGCGATATTCCATTTCATGACAATGGACTACTGGATCCAGGAGTTTCTTTCCTCATTTTATCTGGGCAAAAAAGAAAGAGATAGATGTTTAGAGATGGCCAATCCTGGTCCTAAAGGGTGTCTGCAGGTTTTCTAGAGATCTAGGAAAGAGCTGGAAGACATTGTCGGATTGGTCACAGTGAGCCATTTCTGAAGTCAGAATGACAACCTACAGACGTTTCCTGTTGCTCCTGGAAAGAACTGCCCACTCCTGCTCTGTCTTTTGTGTGACCAGTACAGTTAGCACACACATACACACCTTTCTTGGAATCCTGCATCCGCCTCATGATCTCCTCCCTCTCGGCCTGCTCCGTGGCGGTGGTGACGCGGAAGGAGCCCTCGCGCGTGAAGGTGGTGCGGTTGGCGTCAAAGGTGGCGGTCACCCCACACTCCTTCTCCCTCTTCTGTTTGCGCTCCAGACACGCCGCGAAGGCACAGCCCACCGCGTGGCTCAGCCGCTCCCCCTGCAGAGTTCCACAGCCCATCACATCACCGAGCGACACCCTGACATCTCTTCCCCCAACACTAAGACTGTTTCTAAATCATCTAACCCTGACTTGTTCCTGCTGAATTTAAAACCAGACTGGGATCACATGTATGCTATTCATCTTGTTTTAAAAACACATTCAGCCCTGTTAATCTAGGGTAGGACCTTCCAATGACCATCATGAGTTGTTAGTTTGCTAATGGGAACCCATGTCTGTTTTAACACAGATTGTGACTTTGGGAGTGCTCTTTGAGCACTGCAAATCATCAAAAATCAATTCTGAAAAAAAGCTCAAAGCAAGAGTTATCTGATCTCCATGAACTGCTGCTTACACCTGACAGCTCTTCAAGGTTAAGTGGTCATGACTCTGTTGAGCAGCTGTATGGATGAATTTCTTTATAACAATAACAAATAGACTCAGAAAAGACTGCCTAATACTAACAATAATCTTGTCTTGTTTAAATAAAAGATGTGATTATCTTTTTAGAATTGCCTGCTAATTTGAAGAAGACATGATAGTTTTATATTCACAATGGAATCTTTAGTTGATTCCAAGAGATATTGAGTATTGTATTGATAACAATCAATATAATTGATTGATAACAATACAATACTTTTTGATGTGTTATCTCAAAGTATTGAGAAAACTTTACTTCGTTATCTCAATACCCCTTTATCTGATATTGACCCAAAGACACCCAGCTATTGGGAATGGGTTTTATAAATTTATTAAACCAGAAATAGCGTTAGAAATAATCCCTATTATAAATTGACAGGTCTCACTTCAATTTATAATACATGATAATGGAAACTTACATCTTACTCCTTTTTACAAGGATTCAGAAGATAATTTCTAATTATTCTCAATAATTTCAGATTGAGATTCTTTTAAGAGAAAAGTCATAAATAACATTTCACAATTGTAGTCTAAACCACTTCCTTTGGTTGTCAGAATTGCAAGTTACCTGTAAAAGAATATGCAGAGTGTGAATACTGCCACACACTGATTGATTATACAAGTCAACAGCCACCCCTACTCTTCTTCCGAGTGCTAACAGGGCCGTGGGGCACCAGGCTCACCGAGTCCTTCACAGCCATGAAACAGTGGCAGATCCAGCGGCGTGTGGTACCATCCCGACAGATGTAGGAGAAGGCGCGGTCAAAGTTCCTGTCGGGGGCGCAGAAGGACACCTTCTCTATCGTCTGGTCCAAGATAAGGTCCTTTCAAGAGAAGAGAAAGGCCTATAAAACTCAATGAGGGGCACAGCTCACCATTGCCCAGTCTACCCTACGAAAGTGAAAGTGCTAAACTTACTTGCAAGTGGGACATACGGAATGCAATGGGACTGCTCCTGTGTAACAGAGCAATGATGCTGTAGCCAACAGAGCAAAGGACACTTCCACCAGCAAGGACACTCACTCAGAGTGACACATAAGCTCTATCATTCAGATGTTAGACATATTAGCTCACTGCTGCACCCTTAGCATATTTATTTTTTTAATAAAGAAATAATTAAGATACTTAAAGTAGTGACGCATAAGCCCTATGATTCAGATATTACAAGTTTAAATCTCTTTTATTAAGAAATAAATACATGCTTCTATTACTTGATGTTTTGACAGAAAATCTCCTCAGGGAGCTTCCAGGGAAGTGCTGATCCGAGATTATTGCTGGGATGTGTTGCTGTGTCTGCACAATGAATAAGGACCTCTAGCTGCGTCATTTACTGCCAAATAATCTTTCATGTAGAAAAATACAATTGGCTGTATCCTACCAGATCCTGAAATAGGCCCAATCTATCTCAGTGGCTCCCTGCTTGCTAAACCCTCAGCATGCGTACAAAACTAAGGAAGTGGGCAGGTTTCTAAAAGTGCTCAGATAAACATCTCATTTGTCATCAGACCATACACCTTTGATAAAAGTCAAAATAAATGATAAAAGAAAATAATCTTAACTTGCAATACAGAAATCCTGCCTATGCTTGCCTGAGAAGTATTAGGTAACACATTTTGTAACATTGGGCATTTTAGCACTATCTTCAGTCAAATTTTCCAGTGCCCACAGTTATTTCAAAATGTGCGTCCACTGTGCATAGTAAAAGCATAAATGCATATTGAAGTATTTCTGTCACTACATGGATCTGAGTACAGGAATTTTATTGAAGGTGAAGCTATCCTGGAAAAAAGGATTTGTACGTGTTTATGATTGCTGAACATTAGCTGTGGGAATAGAGTTGGTGTCTGGTACACATGTTCTGGCAAATACCAGACATTCCCCAAGTCAAGACTCTGATCACAAGAGAATGGCACACCCCCAACCTGCCTCTCTGGCTTTCTGATGACTTCCGAGCACTGGGGTAGACTGAGAAAGCTATGAAGTCAAAAACTGCGCATGAGTTATCTGTCCAACAGGGGGCAACATTCTCCTACAAAACAAGCCAAGCAATGTGCCTTTTGAATGATGATGACATTAGTTTTTCCAGATAAAGAGTAAAGGTTAACTGGTGAATCTAAATTGCCCATGTACAAGTATGCTTGTGTGGGCATCCTGTAACAGACTAGTGCCTGAGCTGTAGACATGTGTCTGGAACAGTGATGTTGCCTCGATTTACCAGGAATAAGCAGCTGTTATTTAATGAACCAAATTTATGCAAATGCAACAAATTGTACATATTAATGTATAAAAAGGTCATCTGAATTTTAATGAAGTGCTAGAAATTTATTTCTCACATAAACTCAAAACATTTAACAGTACATACACTCATGTATCTAATTCTGAGTTTATTTTAAAAGACATATACGTGAGGGTTTTATTAGGACTTCATTATATCCTAAATTTGTAGGGCAAGTACCCTGAAACAGGGGAGTCAAAAGTGTTTCATGGTTTCCATTCCAGGTGATATATAAATAGCTTGTTGGAACAGTTATTGGCTTCATTAAAAGCATACTTTTTCATACATAGTCCTCCAGAGCTATGGTCCACAGTTGTAAACCAGGTTTAACACTGTCTTAAATGACTAAGAAAATAGTAACAAGGTGACACACTGACCTTTGTCTTGTCATCCACCACCCTGAGTCCATCTGCTGAGACCCATAGAACTGCTTTCACTGCCTTCTTTCCCGCCTTTAAAACAACAGACAAGACAGTGAGGATCAGGAGCAAAACCGCACTTCACTCACCTCCCTTTCGATCCCATTCTCCCCCCAGGGGAAACCAACCTGCAATTCAAAAGTTAGAGGCCAAACCGAGAGGCACGAGCAGGGCCAACCAGAACTCACAGCATTTCTCTAACCACACAGGTGAGGAGGGGGCAGAGATGCAGACACACAGCACGCAGTAGGGGAGAAATGACAGGTTGTCGCAGTCCAATCAAAGTCAACGAACCCTCCCACTGAAATAAACTCTTCGACTCACACCTCAATGTGAGGAGGCAGGGAGGAGGAGGAGAGGGGCAGAAGAGAGATCACACCATAGACCTGTTGCATTACCTTTGGACACCTTAATATCAGTATCCCATGAAAATCAGTCTCCTACTCCCCAGACCCTGTACTCAAAGTTAGATGAAAAGGAAACCCAATGACAAATCCAGTGACCCGTGGACCACCATAATTATCACTAACTTATGAAGTGGGATACACACCATTAGTATCGGTAATACTGGCCTTTATCAGTTCTGATGCTACTACTTGACCCTACAGGGCTAAAACAATCTTAAAAGGAATTTGGCCATAACGTTAAATATTGGTGGGCATTTCAAATACGCAGATACAGCTAAAAATAGTGTTAATTGTTTGTTGATGTAAAAATGTGGAAGCGATCTAAATTGAAATAACAGAATCAAGACACCAAATTTAACTATCATGAGTTCTCTAAACTGGCGTGCCCTGTGTGAAAGTTTCAAAGTTTACTAAATGTTTGTTATCAGGGCTATTTGAAAGAGGTGGTATACTGCCAGATCTTTCAAAGCATTTCACTGCAGGAGTTTGGCAGAGTGGGCTATATAATTACGCAACTTAAGAATTCATTAATCAAGCAGTAACAAGTCAATTGTGCCAAAATGATCCAGATGAATGCATCGGAAGGCCTGGCAGATGAATGAAGCAGGGGCACAGAAATGTGATGGGAGTTTCATCAATTAGAGTAAATTTCCTCCAAACCTAAACCTCCCTGGCTCAGCTAGTCAGAGACTGAGACATATACACCCCCAGTTTATAAAAGCTGGTGTGACCCTCTTCATATTACCCCTGACCCCACCACTTCTTCCAGCCTCATCGTCCCAGAACAAAAAAAAAACTCCACACAATTGAACCCAACCAATCTGACCATCAACACAAACCAGTGGGGGTGAAAATTGCAAAAACTTACTTTTCCAAAGAAGCCTTTGAAGAACTTCCTGTCCTGGAGTGACAGAAGGGGAGGGGGGACAAGGTAGCAGAACGTTACTGAAGGAAGCTACAGGGTGTCCCATGGGCTCCTCCAGGAGAGAGAGGAAAGAGGGAGATGGAAGAGTCTGAGACTGCTCGTTGCAGCGAGAGGATGGAGCAGCACAGACAAAGTGTAAGGTGGCCCCAGTTAGGGCAGTGGGAGCAAGAGGGCAGAGAGGAGAATGACCGGGAGTTCATGCACACCTTACAGCTCTTTATTCTTTTTCCCCACAGCAGAGTTTTTAGTAAGAGGGTTAGTAAGACTTGACAGCAGATGTTCGAGTCATCACCACAGCTGCCTGGTAGGGCTCACATACAAGAGCAGAGACTCCATATAGTTTTTCAGTGAACAGGTGGTGAGCACAGATTTCCTTAACTGCCTACGGTGAGGTTATCAAAACACAAAGCTTTCGCTCCAGCCAAGAGTGTTGAATCCTGAGAACTCGACTACAGCAACTGGAATTTTCTTTCAACTGTGACTCATGTTATCTGATTCAATGAAATCCACCCTAAGGTGGTGAAGGAACAGAGCCTGCATCACTTAATACTATTAATTCAGTGATTGTTACAGGTAGTAACCTTACATTTTTACACAATTGCATTATCTTGCAGTTACTTTATTGCATTACTTATTCTGTGCCTTACACTGTGATGCACGTTCCTACATTGCAGTAACATTAGCATTATTAAATCACTGTATTTCTATCATGTGATATTACAATGTACTAATTAGTTGTACCTTATTGTACAAATTAGGCATATATGTAATTAGTGGATAACTATAAATATTTTGAGCAAAGGTTATTATAAATAAAAAACGCAAAAAGTGTAAATGCATTTTGAGTGTATAATGGAGACAAAATGGCACCTTTGAAAAAGATGTCTGGTCTCTTTTTAGATTTTAAGTTAAAAAAAATGAGGCCTCAAAAACTGTGTACATTCCTCCAGCAATAGGCTAGCAGGTTAGAAAATAAATTGCCTATCGTGTGAGGGCTAACAAAGAGCTCTGTCGCACCTAGGCCTGACAGGACAAACTGTATGGCCTAGCGCTGGTATGACTAAAGCATGCAACCAGATGAAGACCTGCTTCAATTTATATTCAAGCCCTAGTACCTCTTGACAAAACCTTTAAAGGGAAATGTGTTTGCCCTCTGCTGCTGTGCAAATTCTGAAGTTGTTTGTTAAAGATAAAATGATCTCTGAGGAATCAGGAGACATGGACTCCACAGAATTCAAATGATGGGGCACTCAGAGATTTTACTGGCTAGAAAACATGACCTGATGTCTTCTATAGGACATGTTAGGTATGCTGTCAATTATATTTGTTTAAACAACAATACACAACTTGCTGTGAAGGTAAGGAAGAGTGTGACTAAGTTTGACCAAATTGTAGTAAGGGAATCACATCAGGTGTGTCAACATCACTGGGCAGGGGCAGAATAAAATGGATCTAAACGGCTTCCTGGCATTTGTGAAGAAAATCTACAAAGACAGAGCTTCTGCTAACCTAGCAGATACAGGTATGTGTATTTAACAGAAACGTTTGACGGGGCAATTAAGTAATAAGAGATATCCTGTTTGAGTCACAGGCAAAAACTGTGTAAGACAATGCAGACATGATGCTCTCAACTCGAGTGCTCTTGAACTGTTTCTGCTGCCAAATTGGATCTCATCAGTTTTTGTTTTAGAGAAATGAATCAATCCCAAGAAAAAAAAAAGGAACCAGAAGAAGCAAAAGAAATTCCACAACTGCTAGAACAACATGCGTATGGAGCAAAGTGAACGCCTTGCTGCACTGGGGGGTGTGCGAGGGTCTCTATGGCCAAATACAGCCTCAATTAGAAGACTAATTTGTAGCAACTGCTCCATCTTCCCCCTTTATTCCTATATCATCATATCTCAAAATGTGTTGTCAGAGCGGATATTTCCCTTACAACATGAAAGACTGGATTTGTTAAAGAAAGAAAGGTCACTTAGGACTAATCCTCCCAACACTGCCTAACAATTAAAAACCCTCCCCTCTCATACATCTTGCAGCATGGCTATAGACTTTGCCCACGTCTGGTTAATCTTTAATTGGACTACAGTTTCAAAACATGGTGTGGAAGGAAAATGCCTTGAGTAATTAGTGAGAACTCCAGACATGCAAGATTGTCACACTGTTCGTTAAAAGAAGAAAACAAAAGGGGGGGAAAATGTACTTTAGGCATTTGTCTTAAACCTGCTTAAAAAAATAAAAACATATTAAATACATTAACAACAAACAGATATAAGGATTTTAACATAACAGTAACTGTATATTAGAATCAGTTCTGTCAGCACTTGATAGATGCTTAGCAATTCTAAAGCATTTCCAACGTGACAGTTCATCAGTATTTTACAGCAGTACCAATATCACAGCAGAACCTGATACCCAAGAAAAACAGCACCATCCTAGAGGCAAAATAGAGTAACAGGGCAATCTTTGATCATGATCACACCTGATAAGTCAAGCGCATAACTGTTGTATGGCTTAAATCCACATTTAAGCAACGATATCACAAAGTCATTAATGTACATTTATACAGAGCTCTTCAGGAAAATAATGGGTTCATAGCTGAAACAGAAAAGAATAAAAACAGATACAAATATAAAGAAAACATTTTAAAATTAGGTATAAGGTGTACGCACTGATACAGATGAAAATTGTAAATCAAACTATACATAATTAAATGCTAAATATATCCAATTCCATAATTCAAAAAGAGGCTTACAAGGCAAATGGACAGCCAACACTATTTTTCTCTACACTTGTTAGACGCTGAAAAATGGGACACATAGGGTCAACAGGTCTTTTATGTATGCATACAGTCATTTAGCACTTTATATTCATTGATTCAGGATTGATTTCAACACCCTGCTTACAGAACACCAATGCAGGGATAATGTGCTTTTTGCTTCTTGTTTAAATTCTGGCAGCAGCATTCTGTACAATTTGTAGTTGTGAAATATGACAAGAGACATCAGAGAAAAATGCATTGCAATAATGCAAGAATGGAGCCTTGACATTACAAAGCTCACAAATGATTCTCTCAGTGTCAGAGGAAGAAAGTTTGATTTTGGCAATAACTCTTAAAGGCAAAAGGTACCTTAGTGTCATTTCTAACATGGAAATCAAAGGAAAAATAAACACCTATATTTTTCACCCAGGTCATTCAGTTCACAAGAAGCATTAAAACAGTCAATTCCAGTAATCATTTCTTGTATTTTAATCCATTTTATTATATATGCAAACACTGTTGCAACATAAGTCAGCTATGCGTCTAAATCTAGGATTACTTAATTGAATTAAATCATTAATTTAAAAATTTAAAGACTGCCCTTTGGTTGCTGTGAAATACAGAATTTGGTTTTCAAGTATGTGTTCTGTTCTATACGGAGTCACACCATTTATGAATTTAATATGAAGTGTAAACAGCCCTTTCGATAAAACCCACTTTCTTATCATCACTTTGCAATCAATACTTTCAAACTGCAAAACCTGACGAATTCCGGTGCATTTCTGTTTGCATGCGCCCAAAGAAATTAAATCTAGTAAGCAAGCAACTGAATGTGCAATATGAAGCATTAAGTCAGTAACTGTGCGAACCTCCTTGAAGGGCAGCCTTAAGGGATCTTCTCCTCCTTACATTTTGCTAATGCTGCAGATGTGCCTTCAACGTTAAGCCAACATTAACATTCTCAAAAACAGAAGAATGTGAAACATCAACCTGCTATTGAAAAACCCCACTTGCCTACTGCTCACCATGCAGTGACTATGTGAATGAGATTGGAAGCAGAGATAAAAAAGGCCCAAATTTGCTCATGCTGCAGTGTACTGTACATGCTGTGAGATATCTGAAGGTCAAGGTGATTTCAGTCCCTCTGGCTGTAGTCCACACAGGCTTTCAAGTGGCTGTTATACACACAACAGCACGGCATTTACATCTTGACTGAAATCTCTCTCAGCACCAGGCAGGCTACAAAGCTCCATATTCAGAGTAGCATATTCACTGTAGATAAGAACAATTAGAAATGAGGGGGGTCATTCAGCCTCTCTCTTTCATATGGTTTTCCAGCAGCTAACAAACCCAAGGATCTGATCTAGCCATTTCTGGAAAGAAGCCTTGACGAGCAGCTTGGTCCAGACGCCCACAATCCTTAGAATAAAAAAGTGGACAAACGTAGTAGCAGAAAAAAGTTACTCGGATGCTACTTTTTAATCCGTTAAAGCTGATCATTGCAAGAAATTTAACTAACAGTTCAGTACAGCACAAAATACAGGACACTCGTTATCTCATCAAAATGTCTTCATAAAGAGTGCAACAACGTTAGTATTCCTGTAATTCAGGAAGTCTATAGTTTTGCTGTCTATAATGTTTGTGACCGACCACCTGTGTGTACAGTATGTATGAGTACACATACAGCTGTTCAGAACACTTGCCGAAACAACATGAATATTTACTGTTTACTCCCTAGTGAAATTAAACAACGAAACAGGAACAGGAGGGTTTTACATCCTACTGACAGGCCAAGCAGAAAAGAAAAATAAAATATTAATCAAGCACAAATTGTCATTTCATTGTTCTGTGATTCTGCTTTTCCAAAAAGTGAGAACTTCCAAAGGCAGGCGAGACAAATTTCCTGTCTTGGCATCATTAGATCATGTCTTGACGACATTTACATAGAGCTTTCAGCAATGGGGAGGGGGGCAGAGGGAGTGCTGCATTCTTTTGTACTACTTTTGCTCAAATGTTGAAAAGTTTAAAATGAAAATGGTTACAAAAATGCAGAGTGCAATTGCTCTTGCAGACTGCAGTCTGTGCCCTAGTAAATGCTTTTGCTCACCGACACAAAATACAACCGGTAAAACATCAGGAAAGATAATATTACAGCAGTGGACAAATCAACACTACAGAACGTGTATAGGATCTAGAGCAGGCAAGTGCTTGCTAAAAAGTTCCCACTTAAGGTTAGAATCAAATTCAGTCCTTTTTTCCCCACATGATCAATGATCTCCAATTTTCAATCCCCAGATCAATTTTACAGCCAAGATCTAAAATGTACAGAAAAGACTACATATTTTAAATATTAAAATGTTTCAACATGCACATAGAAAGGAAAACGTCAAGATCAGCATCTCATGACGAGCAGGGTGTGTCAAAGAGAATTGTCTTTTCCTGTTACAAAATGCCAGCCTGAAATGGGCTGTTGAGACATCAATAATATGATAACGTCCTTGAATTTTTATAGTCTGAGGATCCCAAAATGCTTTACACATAGCAACTCACTTCATTCACCACTGAAATGCAGCACTACCTACGATTTTATGCCATCAGCCCAACTACACAGCTAATTATGTTGGGAGTGAGAAATTACTTTACTAATTGAAATAAGGGGCTATCTAAAGCAGGTCAGATCTTGCAAGTTCAAAGTTTGTTAAGATAGTGTTCAATACCCTATTTTTAAAAGCAGGGTATCTCATCTTCAATGACCACAGTTAAATACCTCCTACTTAAGGTTAGCACATCCTACAGCACACTAAACCCTGTCACTATAATGATGCAATGGATCGGGAATTCTGGTGCAGAGGGAAGAGTGCCACCTACTGGTTGACCATCACAAGTAGTGTCCTAGTCTTCCATCAAGATCTCCCACCCCAGGACTGACCAGGCTCAGACCTGCTTTGCTTCCATCAAGATCTCCCACCCCAGGACTGACCAGGCTCAGACCTGCTTTGACAATAGCTAATGTCATGGACAGCCATCCTGATCCTCCAAAACAGAAATCTGTCATGTGTTGCTTTCAACCAACATTAACGTAAAATAATTGCAGTTTCCCTGTTTACAGCAACCTTTTCATATTACAACAGCACCCTCTCCAAGCACTACATCAATGCCTGAAAAGGCCTGGTGATAAAAACAGAAACTAAACAGTATCTTAAAGACTTCTGATAACATTAACATGTGGGAACTATATGATTAGAAATAAAACACAAAGTCATTCAAACACCAATGTTTATCAAATTAATTTGTTTACAAAATGCTGTGATTTCTTTAAACATAATAGGCTGTATGATTCTCATGCTTAGGTATATGATGCAGATCTCAATGTGGCACTGCAAACACTGACTTTTCAAAACATTTAAAATTTTAGAAATGCACATTCAAATATGCATCTATATTTCCCAGAATATACAAATATTCAAATTTTATTTTTTCCCAACTATTATTTTAAACTTTGTCCTCTCTTTAACCCCACTAGTGTGCATCATGTCTCAAGGACATTATATTCATAACTGTAGACAAAGAGGCCACAGAGACAAATGATATTATTCATTAAGATGAGCGAAGTGTGAGCTACAGTATAGTAACAAGCCTGCAATCTGTGTGCTATACCGATATAGTTAGTGGGCAGAAACCAGCTCAGCAGTTCTGCTGTTGCCACAAAGACCCAGAGCAGTCACCAAAAACAGGTGCTCACTAGCCTGGACTGTCAGGAATGCACAACGCCTTTTGGGTACACAGGGAACAGAATACATACAAAACATTTTCAAAACCAAGCTTAGGGCGGAGATGCAATATAACCACTCTAGGCAGGATGTAGACCAGTAGGATCGATCTGGGATTAGACCCCGGACCTCAGTGTTACCAGCATAACACCCAGATAACCTAGGTGACCCTGTCACATAGGAAGCAGAACCTTAACCAAAAACATGCTGCTACCACTAAAATATATGAAACAGCCAAATTCACTTTAAGGATAATCTCGAAGGTGAATGACTGCATTATAGAAAAGGCCGAAACATAAATACTTAAAACATTAGAGTTTCCAAAATATGTTGATTCCCTGTCAAATTTGCAAGATGCAGCATTTTAAGTCTGCGAAACGTGAGAACTACAATGAAGGACATCTTGGCCCAGAGACATCAGTAGAAAAAGCATGGTTTGTGCATTGCCAGGAACCGAGTCCTGTTCTGAAGGCTGGGCACTGGCACCCAGTGAGATAAGATAAGCCCAAGTCGAAGTGATGCAATCTGCTCTACTACTGCATCTCGAGGGCAACATGGTTGGTTGGTGGCAGTTCTTGAACCACACAAATTTGTAGATTGTTTTAACCATTCAAAACAGTGATTTAGAATGCTACAATGTGAAGGTGAAGTGAGTATAACGGCACAGAAACTGACTTTTAAGTCAAAATATGATGCAGTCTAATTCTACCTCATGGGTAGAAGATATACCACTTTCAAACATCACTTTAATAGAGTTTCAGACAGGTTTATAATTAAATCCATATTTCTTTTGGTATACTCAATTTGTGCACACCATGAATTTCTACCTGTATATCTATATTTTTCAGGCCAGGGAAGCAGACAAGTAGATATTCATGGCAACATACTCAGAAAACATTTGCCAATACCTCAAGTGACGCATAAATCTTTCAAGCGATTTAATCAAGAAGCCGTAAAGGCTGTTTAAGCTTTTTGTTATTTAGCATCACTAGGAGTCTGGTTTCTGAACAAAGTAAGGTAAACTGAACAAAGGGAAATGCTTCAGTAATACAGCAGCAGCTCACAAGCAGGGTGTACAGGTAAACTGTGTTTCCTGAACCCTGTCAGACTGCACAGTAGTCTATTACTTGACAGCTGACTAAATGCCAGTGCCACCCAGCTCTTTATCCCCTGAAGGACTCTGAGCCACTGAAGGATTTGGGGAAGCGGAGCAGTAGGGGGATGGAGAACACATCCGTGCTTCATCGCAGTTTGACGCTGGCTGCTGTGCCTGGCTAGAGACCGGCACCACGGGCCCAACCTGCACACCTACCGTCTTCAGTCTTTTCACCGCGTCCTCACAGATGTGCATTCCTCGAGACTCCTCCACCTCCACATGGCCCAGGTACTGAGGGACAGAGAAGGAGAAAGGGCAGTGAGAATCTCCGATATCGGCCTCCTACATAACAGTTGACCATATGCCCATGAAATTGCAAATAAAAGCGAAAAAACTACACAAAATATACGACAATTAAAATAATGAGCCACTTACAAGGGAGTACAATGCCAATATTTCTCTTCACAGACATGCAAGATCTGCAACACCCTAAAATCAGATTCATTACATGAATTACTACTGTTGAGGCATTTTTAATGCTGTGTATGTTATCCAGAAAGCAGAGGTTGTAAGCTCTGGTGGTGACTGGCCAGCTGGCCTACCCACAGCTCAATAATGAGAATACCGCAGACATGAACTGGAGCTGACTGGGCCAGTGGGCTCTCAGCCCCCCTGGAAAAGGCACTTTCCTTAATGAACCAGCTGGACTGCACCCTCAACCTCATTTCCTTTATTATTGCCACACGCAAAATTAGCAACTTCTGTTCAATTTGATCACGAGGTTTGGGACGGGGGAGTGCACATTTCACTCGTGCAGCAAGTTAGGCTTCACCCAGCATCTTAAACAGGAAAAGAAGCCAATTACTCACTGGTACAACGTCTAAAGAAAGGTCATGATGTGTAACTGCACAGCCAAGGAACAGTCGCTAAATCAATGTGAGGAAATGGGCAGACCTTTCTTTGCATGTCATGCTGATGTCACTCCCAGGTCACAAAGGGGAAGCTACAGGGCCTGGAGACGGCATTGTGTGATTCAGCAGGAAATCCAACCCTTTCCCTCAACTACAAAGATATTGTGCCTAAAATGGGAACCACCGCTCCACTTCAAGACTTACAATACACCTACACACAACGAAGCCACCCCCCCAGCTCTCACAACGCTCAGCAATTTGAAACATTCTAACCATCTACTGCGAAATTCCGACAAAAGCAGCCTTTTGTATTCAATCATTGTAAACGCAGTAAATTCAAAACCAGCAAATGAGCAGCAGTAATTCTGTGGGATACGGGCTAGACATAGAAAAAGCCTTTCTTTGTATTCACCTGTGAGAGACTGAGGCGCTTAAAGACTCCTTACTGCTTTAAGAGTGGCAGTGAGAACTTCTAAGGGTTAGTTCACTCTCTTTAGGATGGTGGGAGTATGGAACAAGCTAGGCAGCCATGTTGTTTAAGCCAAAACTAGTTCTTTACAACAAACAGCTGGGAAAGATCCTCTGATCAATTAACTACTAACTACCTAATGGGTTAGAGGGGCTGAATGGCTTCCTCTCTATCCTTTACGTTCTTAAGTTCCTGACAATAGCCAGCCAGTTATTTGAAAACAAAGAGGGGACATGAATGTCATGTGAGTTCCACTCGCAGAAGTCAGGACCTGCTCTCAACAGGCAGAGTCTCAGATGGTATAGAACAAGATGAAAGGATAGCCTTTGCTTTTAAAACCAGATACCCCTGATGCTACAAAACATTTCTGAATACAGACATACAGAAACAAATTATTAAGCTTTGATTTCTGTGAACAAGGGTCACCTAAAAAGCTGAACCACTTTTGAATCTATGCAGAAAGCTAAGGCAATATTCTGAACAGCTTCTTTACTTCTGCCTTACCTTTCACATACAGATAAAGGATGGAGACAACCAGCAGGCGTTGTGCTTTCACCAAATTAAGAAAGGTTCAGAACATTTACTACATGTACCACAGGATTTAAATGATTATAACAATGCAAACTTTAGAAAAAACAGAAGGCGAAAAATAAACAGTTGAACAGCTGTTAGTATCCACAGTTTCATTTTGTCCTTAACAATGCTGAGTATGGAGACACTCAGCATTTAATGATGTTTGCAGCAAGGACAATGTAAGAATACGTTTTTAAACACAGCACTAATGTTTAAGTATCAAAATGGTAAGTGAAATCCAAACTAATAATACAATTAAAGAGTTACATGTTTCAAACTGCAATTCTTCTTTATAAGAGAAGTGAAATATCAAAAGGAGAGGGGAGACAGAAACGCCAAAACCACACACACAAATATGATCCAATATTATATTTCATTAGCAGCTTGTTTCCATGTTTTTACCATGACAAGAACAGTCAGAGCTGGGCCCTATCCACACTAGGATGTTCATTCCAGAAGTATGCTGTGTTTTCTGAACGACCTTAAAAATGTTGATGAAGTCATAATTTCACACCAACACACTTAAAAACAACAGCACACACAATACAAAATGAAAATTCCTTTATAATTCCTGTTAAACTGCCAAAACACCATGAGTACTTTTAGACCTTGTGAGGCCTATCATGTTGTAAAATCACATCACTAGCATGTTTATAAATCTGCTAATGTCCTAATTATATGCTGCTAATGCTTCAAATTGTGCACTTTGAAACCTAGAGAGCTGGTTATTTTTAAACTTGTAAAAGATTACATTTCTGTAAGAGGGTCACACAGTATTCCTTATTGAACCAGCAAAACCACAAACTACTACAGAAGTGACTCAATTTCAATGGAATGGAATGACTTCATTTTGTTTCACTGTAAAATGTTAAATGCTATCAAAGGTTCTTTCATTTTCAATATTTATCAATGCATGCATAACTCAGGTGTCTCCAGTTGAAGGCAAATCTATATTTAATGAGATTCACCTGAGTAGAAACAGAAGGGCAACTAGGTTTTTTAGTAGCTCCCAAAAAGGTGTTCAATGTGGAAAAGATAGTTGATGAACTTAATTTTGAAGAGTAATTAGATAAAGGCACAGAAAAAATAAATCATATATACACTTAAAGAGGGGGAGACATATATGCTTACATGGTTAAATTCCCTATAATTTAGGTCTATTATTTTTAAACAATTATTGGAAACTGATAATGATATTGAAAACTGATAAGATTGGCGTTGACTACAAGTGTTTATATTTAGTAAGTTTTTAAAACTTTTTTTTACTACTATTACTATTCACTCTTATTAAACAGGTTGCTTACTAGCAAATACAGCATTCCACAAAAATGTTTTACACAGCTCTTATAGAGGGTTGTATGCTTGTAGTTTATAGAACAAATCTCCAATTACTTGTTGCAACAACAAAAAAACTAGAGAGGACTTAATTAGGCGCATGATTCAGTCATTTGGGAAAAATTAAACTGGTAATAACCGTGCAATTGCCCATTTCCTGCAAGACTAAAAAGTGTTTATGAAAGGGAAGCCCTGAGTAAATCTAAAGTGAAAATGCGCTCGATTTCTAATACTCTACTTCCTGTTTCTTTTTCACTGCTACAGTGATAATTTGACCACAAATATTTAAACCCACAAAGCCTCACTGGGATTTTTGGGGGGTTGTAGACATACCAGATTACATGGAGCTGAGTGGTAGTCTTCTAAGCAAGATTTAGTTTGTGTCTGTTCACTTTTATTGCAGTTTCTGACATTGAAAACATTGTTTTATGTCCTTGCAGGTCCTGATCTAAACATTCCAATGGGATACTTCACAGACATCAATGTAAAAAACAACAAACAAATTCCCCTTCGGTACATTGTTTGACAAATAGACTAAGTCAGCAAACTAAACATCTTAATCTCTGTCTCTAGATTAAATCTACTGTCCCATTAGCAACCACACTTTGGGAATGAAGACAGAGGCCCTAGACAGAGACCCTAACTGTAATAAACAAATTTAGACTTGGTTATTGCGATTTAAAGAGGAGCTGGAATTTGAAGGCAAACAAATCCCTAGAAGCATGGATTTGAGTGCTTTTTGCAAAGTGCACCCTTTTCATTTGATATTTTTACTTTTGCCCCTCTCTAACCCTCTACTGCTGTTCCATACTTGAGTGTATATTCCCTGGATGGCTTTTCTTAAGGAACCCTAAACCTTTCCTCTCAGGTAGCAGTAAAAACACTGCTAGCTACTGTACCCAAAGAAAGTGGGCTGTTACAGACTGACCGTGGCTAGTACGTTTAGGAGATCATGCACAGCATCCCACAACCTAATGCACGTTCTTGTTTTATGGGTGACTTCTTTTTTCTCAAACTCCTTTGGCTGAAGGACAACTGCCTGACACACAATTACAAGGCAGCTGGATACCATAACAAAGGATGCAAAGAAAAATAGATCATTACTCCTTCATTCCTTCAAATTCAGGCCCAGAATTTATCCAGCAGCATAAGGTGAAAGTTGGCCTAGGTATGTCTTGCAAATTTCTTCAGTACCAAAAGTTTAGGTATTCAAAATCAGGGTATAGTTCTTTTTTCTCAACAACAAAAGGAGTCACATTTTCAAGTCTTATAGACCACTGTTATGACAATTGACAATAATCAATTGAAGTGCAGATAAAAAGATGGCAAACCCCAAGCAAAAGGTTGAGAAATCAGCAAGAAAAGGGATCAGAGACCACAGAATACATTCTGCTGGTCAGCCACAATGAATTCAAGCATAAAGGAAGAGCTTTTCAAGACAGGCAGACGTTCACAGTGTGATAGTACAGAAAACCTAGCTTTCAACCACCCATCTTCTAACCACTTTAGCCAGCACAGGGCCGTGGGGGGTGCCTGAGCTGGAGCCTATCCTGGCCAGCAGTGTGCGTAAGGCAAGATACGCCATGGACTGGACAACAGTCCATTACAGGATACCTTGCTGTCAGGCATGGTCTATTATTAAATGGCTGTCCATAAAGTCACAATAAATCACCATGATGCCCATCGTAACAGCCAGCAGACCTAACCTAATGAACAGTTGAGATCAAAGGGCTTTGCTATACCAAGAACCTCCCATTGGAAGCAAAAGGCAGTAATTAAACTCATCACTCCACAGGACGCCTACTTCTGTTCGGCACTTTCGAAGGCCTCAGGACATCGGAGTCCCCTAAGCAGTGACACGCCGGGCACCGGGGAGCAGTGCCAGGGTTGGGAGCTGGATAAAAGATCTTTGTCTTTCCATGTGGCAATGACCTTTTGGACTTGCTGTGTGCCTGGGAGATTGTGGCAAGGTAGGTAACATACCGAATAAGACAGACAACTAAAAGCCATCTGATAAAAACAGGGTTAGGATTTTACTGAAAACTGGTTTCGGCAAATACAGAAAGAAATGTCAAACAAAGGGTGCAATTGCATCACCACAAGACTCTCTGGGTTCTGCAGCTCAGCAGGAGAATCCTTTTAGACGGGTTTCACCACTGCTCTGCAAGGAAGAACATGATACTGCAAGTGCCCCAGACCCATTCCCAGTCATTCATTGTTCCACTGCACAAAACAGAAATAGCACATCTCTCTTGGTAATTGGGTAATAAATGAGTAATGAAGTGCCTGGCAGACCTAAAGTTCATCAAGGTTCCCGGAGGCAAACACAGAGGCATTCATTTTGCTTGAAGATTTCTAGAAGTCCTGATTTACAGGCTGGGTGCTCTGTGTGTACTGAGCTTCTTGCAGAGGTAGAATATGTTAGGCACAAATCTGTAAAAAGTGCAGCATGGGGATTTATCCTTCTACAGCAACAGAGATTGCTTGTGTGACTGACCTTAATATGGTCACGGAAGCGCATATCAGGGAAAAAGAAATACGTAGGAAAATCTGTAGTGCTTGCCCACACTTTTACTATGGAATCTTGGCCAGCCAAGAATTTCAGGCATCTTTCAGTCTCATTCGAAATGTGCACAGACTGCAAATTAACAATAATTAATAATACACTACATAAAAGCAGGAGTAGATTTTACACATACAGTATATGGACTGGCCTGCATAAACAACCAAACAACTTGCCAGTTTAAAAAGGCATTTTGACTATATAAATAATTCATATAAACTATATGCCTTAAGAAAAACAAAGCTAGATGCAAAAAATATATAACAAAGGTATCGGATTTCATCTTGGGTTAAATCCGGCTAGCAATAACAATCAAATTTACTGTTGTTTGCGTTTTTTCTTGCTTTTTTAACGACTGGGAGCATCCATCCATCCATTTTCTCACTGCTTCTTCCAATTCAGGCTCCGGCTCCCCCGCGATCCTATCTCGGCAAGCTAACCGAGGGCACTGTTAATCAGAAACTCAAGGGCAATTAACATTTATTCACAGCACTGGTTGTCGTGAATTAAAAAAAAGCAATGTGTGTGCCTGACATTATATTCAAAGAATTGGGTCCGGATGGGGAAAAAACATGTTTGCCAGTAACCCAGCCTAGAGCGGTAAAGACCACAACACTCCCAGATTTACTGCAGAACTCATTTGACCACCCCGACTGTCAAACCTGTGCGGCTAACTCTTCAATAACTGATTGCCCCATCTCTGAGGTTAGGATTCAGCTCCCCCACGACCGGTATTGGATAAAGTGGTTAAGAAACAGATGGATGGATGATTGTGACCTGATAAGCCAAATGGACAGATGATAAATCAGTGTCTATCACCTGCCCTCAGCACAATATGTACACTTCATTTTTACTCGTGTTAACAACTTTGATCATCCGAGGCTATACTGAATAACATACAGTACAGTAATGCTTCAAAACATTAAACATCTTTCAGCACACTTACATCTTGGACGGATGAAGAAAGACTTAATATACAGTATAAACTGTATATATAAAACCATAATCATTCACCTTTTGAACAAAAATTGGGAATTAATTCACTGATGCTTTGTAAACGTTTACATTTACCCATTTTTCTAAACATATTTTGGTACTTATTTATATATCTTGTTAGAGGCTTAACCATTAACCTATGCTGCCATCAGAAAAGATCAAAGGTAGTGAAACAGACTCTTTAATCCATTCCAGAACAGAAGTTTTGTAAAACCCGCACCTACTTGGCCTAAACAAGTAATCAAGTAATAACAAAATAGAATGTTAATTGTGAAAGGAGATTTTAAGGTACAGTATACGAGTTGGGAGTTTCCAACAACAGAAAAGCAACTATATTGTTTATAAAAATAAAAAAATTAAACTCAGAAAATCAAAACTCAAAATTAATGAGGAACAGTTCGGGATGATTTATGTTTAAAATTAAAGCCCAAATCCACAGAGAGAACACAGATTTGAAGTTTTAGTGCACAAGCTTAGCAAAACAGTCACCAAAGAGCTTTTTAGTAGAGGTCTGGTTTTTATTTTTTAACCTATATTTGTTTTATTTAAGCTTGTCCTACTGAAAGCAGAATACTAAAAACTATTCCAAAAAATATGAACCCCCAAACTCCTTCAAGTTAAACGGCCAGCTGACTAACATGGAAGATCAATTCTGTAGATTAAAAAAGTTTACCTAAAGGCGGCAGCTAATGCAAAACTAAGCCAGAATACCTCTGAATAACGAACAACTCATCATTTCCAGATCCTGTTTTCACAGAGGGAGGCCAAAACAGGCCTTCCCTATATTGGATTTCTCTGCGCTTATTCTCTAAATCCAAGTTAGCCACACAAACCACACAAGTTTCCTATATTTAAGAAACAAACCCGAAATTCCAATAAGTGCACGCCCAAGTATCTTGACAGCTTAACTACTGCTGCAGAAATGGATGTGCTCTTCATAGTGAATATACTATATGTGCTCTTTTAATAATACTCTCCAAGAGGAGGGTGCCTAAAAAGTAAAACATTCATGATATCTCCAGATAAACAGTTGCATGCTCCCTGTCCAAAAAACAAGAGATTCCATATAAATCGAAGGCCAGAAATTTCCCATTTGCAAACGCTGGAGTGCAGCACTTAAGATGATACACAGTTTGGCAAGTTTGAACTTGGGAACATGAAACAGGAGCTCTGCCTTTGACTTACAGTATTCAGGATGTGCGAGTCTCACTGAGAAAGACAATTTGAGCATTTTATTTCAGGAAAAGGTGGGATCAGGATGACAACCGTGTGAAGTAAATATTTAATTTAAATATTGCTGACTCGCACACTTTCTTGTTTGCCGGCCGTTTCGCAGAGTCTATGGCGCCAAGTGGTTCTGCGTGGGAGAGGCCTACCAGCTCCCACCAAGAGCACGTTGAGCGCTCCGCGCCTCACCTTGACTGCAAAGTTGCACTTCCCGCTGCGCACAGCCTCCTCATCCGTCTGCCACTGGTGCGGCCGGCTCGACTCCGGCACGTAGACGTCTTTCTTGCGGCGGAAGCTCTGCCGTAGTTTGTTCATCGCTGAGCCTCCTGCGGTGCGAGAGCAGAGACGGAATGAGACCGCGCTTCACGGCCTAATTACACAAAAGGGTTTTCTTCTGTCATAACAACAGACATACAAAATAGGAGACAAAAACAGAGAAAACAGGGCTCGGCTAAAAGTACACCATCCATGAATCTCTTTTACAGATACAGAATACACGGCCTCAGGAGACGCACATACACGTCATAAATACAGGCTGGCTTAGTACATCATGTAAATCCTCCTGTCAGTATGGCCAATTTGTGGGAACATTTCTTGGCATAAATTGGTCCATACTGTTGTAAAAGATAAGTTACAACAGTGTTCTAGCAGTTTCAATATACAGTAACCATGCTTTTTTTTTTTAAAAAGGGGGAAAAAACATAAAAATGACCAAACCAAAGGCAACAAAATGCATAGAGAGCCTTGGATTCCATATATATTTGAACATGTCCTAAGATTACGATTGACATGTGCACCTCTAGAGATTCACATGAGCTGACCCAGCTGTTTGACAAATGTAATATTAACTATAGGGCTCAGGCAATGGACAGATGGCCTCTACAGGCAGCAAAGTCACAAACAGGCCACCTCGTGAAATAATGGGACTTTGAAGGGTTTTACAGTTTACCCTAGCAAAAATAAAAACCTAGCACCAAAAAATGCTGTGCCAGCTAAAAAGAAATGACTGGTTCACCAGAGGCACCACACAGGAAATCTTAATTGCACTGTGGCTACCAGTTCCTAAACAATAACTGAGCATCCATGTCTGAGAAACACCAGTCCCCCTCAAAAAGCCATGTGCGCGACAATGTATTCAAAGTAGGTGTGTTTGAATGGGGAAAAAACTACCTTTGCCTGTAACTCAGCCTGAAGCATCGACTTGAATATGAAAGAGGACTTCAGTACTAACAGTACATACAGTAAAAACAGTTACAAACAAGAGGGGGACACCTAGTCAAGTAGTTAACCGCTTCCAGGATCTCATCCAGCTGTTTCTTGAAAGAAACCAGGGTATTGGCTTCTACATCACGGTTGGGTAGCTTGTTCCAGACTTCCACCCTTTGTGGAAAGTAGTACCTCCTGCTCGCACTTTTTAAATGCATGCCCACGTAGTTTCCACTCGTGTCAGGCAGGCACAGACCCTTCTCAGTTCAAACAGCTGTAATCTACATCTGCACAGCCAAGCATGTCCTAGGCTGCAGCTAGATTTACTTTTAGGGTACTTTTCCTCTTTCGATGCACCTGAAATTTAATCATCCCCTCTTCCGGCTCACACGTCACACGTCCTTGCTATTATACATAAGTATTCATCAATCTGGATGGAATCCAGGTCTGAAGTGAACTTGAATGCCAGTTGCCGACACGCCTCTCACTCTGCCCTTGCCAAATGGTGTCTGGACAGTAGGCATACAGGTACAAGCCACTTTCATCCCTCCCACTGCTGATGAAAGCTCACCTGGTCCAGACAAAACCAGGCTCTCAGACCAACACAGAGTACCTGTTCTCCCAGGCTCATATAAAGCCTGAATAACAATAATTAAATGTATTATTCATGCACTCTAGTTATCGTTTCTTCCACAAAAGTTAATACTGTATTTTATCGAGATCAAAAGTTCCACATGTACAATTGATAATTCTATGTGTAAATTAATTTGATGAGCCATAAAGCACCAGACTTTATGCTATTTCAGTGATTCTATACCGCGATGAAGAATGAAGATGCGATGGAAAAAAAGTTTCTTTGCTTAATAAAAAAAAATGGAACTGTTATACTTTAAGGTTTTAAAGGTTACCAACTGAGAAAACAATTAACAAAGGTTACTTATTTCTTGAATGGCAAAACCACCCAGGTCCCCTGTAGACGTGAATCTGAGACCCTCAACCTCAATAAGGATGTCTGTGCACACATAAATCATAATATCTAAGACACCTGCAATAGATTCATACAGGAAAGTCTCAAATATTTAGCAAAGGATAAAGAGCTATAATTTTAAGTGAACAAACAAGGCTTCAAAACACCACTGAGAACACGGGCTGTGCTCCACAGCTGAGAGATAACCGACTTCTGGGCTTCAATGTCATCATGAGCCAACTGTAAGCATGATTCCCCAAGGGGCAGCACAACTGACTGAGCACTGGCAAGGCTGGGTGGGTTCACACCCAAACAGAGCTCCTAGGCTAACTGTCTAACAACTGCCTCTTTGACTGGGGAGGCACCTGTGGGCTCGCCATGTTCTCAGTCCGGCCTGCCATTTTTAACATTGTTTTAACTCCACAACTGATTTGTGCAAAATATGGTCCCATAATTAAATGTCATAGTGCTGGTTTAACACAGCCTGCAGGTTGAAGACGTAAATGGATCAGAACACATCCGGCGAGAGAAGTTTGTTTGAAAGACTTGATTCTTACAGATATCCTTTGAGTCAGAACAGACAAGGGCCTTGGTGTAGGCTTTCCTACTCTGTGCACTAAAAAAAGGGGAAAATGTGAATAAAGCTCCTCACACAAGCGAGATCGGGTACAGCCCATCACCTCCTCCATGTGTTCTTTTAATTCAGCTCCTTTCCTTTTTCAGTCTTTGAGCAGTCCTCCCCCGCCAGCCAACACGACAGCTCGCTTGGATTTTCTTTATTTAGGTCATATCATGTCTTAGCACACTTGAGGCATTAGTCATGCTGTTGCAGAAGGAAGAGAAAAGCGAAAAAGCCCAGAAGCTTCTCTCCTCCAGATCAGTGCCACTGCACATTTATCTCACTCACAGGGAACACGCACGCACTGCAGTGAGCAGCACACTTCACGCATTTCCACTACGTCTAGTCTCGCAAGCTTGGGTGGCCACATTTAAAAGAAAACAAAATGGAAAAACTGCTCTGTGCCTCTGGGAGCAACAGCAACGTTTCCCAGCAGGATGATGCTGTTTGTTTGTTATAAGATTAATGAACTTCAAGTCTATATCTCATCCCAGAAACAAGGCAGTCTGTACACAAAGCACATGCACAGCAAAGAAGTTCGCACATCAACTTACTATATAAACCAAAGCTCGGGTGCGTGTACAGAAACATAGGCATTACCTCAAAAACAGTTCTTGCACATTTACAACAGACAAGAGAAGTGGAAGCAGTGCTGTATGTCAGATAAAAGTGTCAGCTTCACAATGCACACAACCTTGTAAAGGTAAAGAAATGTTACCCCACTACAAGTGCCATTTGTTCACAGGCCATCTAAGATGCACAGGGCCAGACTGCTAGATAATAATTCATATAATAATTATTAAATTATTAATAATTGCATGCTTCCAAATGAAAACTTTAAAGTTCACAGTCGCTTTAGTGATTCCTCCACTTGCTCTAAAGAAAGGCATGGATGTGCTGTTTTGGTATGCGTGCCTGCACAACCACTCCTCGTCTGACACACCGCAAGGTCCACGCTGCCTAATAGGGGAGTCAGCACTAACTGGAGGAGCAGCACGACTCTCACCGACATCACGGCAAGGCTGCATGCCAGAAAGCCAAGAGAGTCTTGGCTGATGGATATCAACCCTACCTTGGCAACGGTCTGCTAGTTCATATCCACCACTAGGGTAATCCTGGTTCCAGTTGGCCAGAGACACGACACAGGCTTGAACTCACTAACACTGTTATAGAGCTCGTGGCTGAGCACTGGGGCCTAACCCCTTGGATCTGTCTCCACAGCAATCAGTGAATAAGTGTCTAACCGGGGTTATACAAGTACATGGGAGGCAACATGGCCATTTGGCCTATCTTGCTTCCATGTTTCCCCAAGCCATCTGGGCTCCATACAGCACAGTTACCACAGCAGTGTTAGCTTCTGTTCTGTGACCACACACACTACCTCCACCACAGCTGGATAAACACCTAAGCCTCAGTCAGGTTGAGGTGAAGCAAGAGCAGGCCTGGGGAAAAATGGTATAGTTAATAGCACTGATCCGTGGAACTAATCAAACCATTCCAAGAAAGACTCAGACTCAGCTTGAACATGGCCCCTTCCACATATCCACCAACCTACGCAAAGAAATACTTCCTCTTCTCAGCTCTGAGGTGATAACATCCATGCAGACAGGGGCTTTCCAGAAGATTTAGATGTTATCTAAACACCCATCACATGTGTTAACTGCTGAAATTGAAGATTGATTAATGCCTTCAGCCAAATGCTCCTCCAGAGAGCTATGGAGGGCCAGGCAATGTGACACCCAAACAAGATATTAGTGGTTCAGAATAGACAATACTGTACCTCCACAGTACTCTATGTCTAAAGTACTTCTTAGTTTTACTACTTTTAATGTACATTTTGTGATCAAAATAAGAGGTTTCAGACTAGACTGCTGTACAGCGCATAGCAACTTAATGGATATTTTTAGAATAAAAAGTCATACACTGCAGCTTTTTAGAAACCATCCAATGGACACTGTATAAGTACTACTTTCATAAATATACTGTCTAATATGGCTACCTGACCTGAAGTCATCCTAGGGAGTACTGCACTTCAGTAGTAGATCAAAGGTCCATGTTTTGTATCTTGTTGTATTCCCAGCCCACGCAAAACCTACGACCGGGAAAACAATAGCTATTGAAGAAGCTATGGAAGAATCAAACTTTGATTGTCTAGAAGTTAATTTGAAACGCATTAACATGACAAACCCCAAAACATAGTGAAACCGCCCGGGTCTCCCACAACACTAATCTATGTAGTATCAACCAATGTGATTGCATAATGGGAAACAACCAGACTCCGTTGTTAGCACCTGTTCCATTTTGTGCTTGGTGTTGTGTCTCATATGACATTGGTTACTGTAACATGGTAGGCCTCTGCAATTATTAAGCATTTGAGGGACTGCTACTGTTCCTGAAATAACCGCACCCCTGGCTGTTTTTACTTAATATGCACTGTGATTGCACACCCTTGACAAAATTCCTGAACCTTAATTAGTTTTATACACAAAGACAGAAACTGCATAAGAATTATTTAAGTACCACGGCAAATGTTA